TTCCATTCTAGGCGACTCTGTTCCTTGCAAATTCAAACTTTTCATTCTACTCGGCACGGTTCTATTCGGTTTTCTTCAGTTTCACGGAATTCTATTTCGATTCATTTAATTTTAATTTATTTTATTCAATTTTCTACCGTTCTACGCGATTCTATTCGATCGCATTCGATTCTACGCGATTCTATTCGATCTCATTCGATTCTACGCGATTCTATTCGAGTGCATTCGATTTTATGCGATTCTATTCGATTATCTATTCGATCGTATTCGATTCTACATTGTTCTATTTCATTTAGTTTCGTTCCTTCGCGATTTTTTTTTGTTGAATACGTTTAATTCTACGCTGTTCTATTTAAACGCATTCAATTCTACGCGATTCTATTCGATCTCATTCGATTCTACACGATTTTATTCGAGTGTATTCGATTTTATGCGATTCTATTCGATTATCTATTCGATCGCATTCGATTCTACATTATTCTATTTCATTTAGATTCGTTTCTTCGCGATTTTTTTTTTTTGAATACGTTTAATTCTACGCTGTTCTATTTAAACGCATTCAATTCTACGCGATTCTCTGTTTGATTTTAATCCGTTCCCACGCGATTCTACTTTATTCATTCGACTCTACTTATTTTTCTATTCAACTTTAATTCATTCTACTTTTCTACCCAATTCATCGCATTTCTGTGCAATTTAGTATAATACTATACCATTCTATTCGATATAATTCCATTCTGTGCGATTCCATACGATCGCATACGATTCTACAAGATTCCATATGAATGCAATCAATTGTAGGCGAATCTATTCGATTACATTCCATAGCTACCGAAGCTTAAATTGATCAATTTTATCAATACAGGTTAAATTTATCAATTTTCTCAATTTTCATCCTGCTATGCAAACCGTTTTCTCTTTCCTTTTTTATCTACATTTTTACCTTCAAGTTTTTGAAATAACAATAGAATATTAAATTATTATTCCCTGGAATCCAGGAAAATTTATTGCATTACGAATGATCGTCAAACTGTCTATACTTCCTGTTTATTATATTTTTACTACATATTTTTCTCATATGTAAATATTCATTTTTGAACGAGACGTATTCGAATAATTTTCCTTCATTTATCTGCGTATATTCCGGAAGATCTATAAAAAAAAATTGTACAAACTTTCTCCCGTGTTTATTTCTATCCACGATTTCCATACATGCAGCTTTTCACGCATTGCGTTCACGTAGAAGCGTTTCTACTTTTATATTCACCGATGTGTCTCCAAAACAAAACGATACATTCAATCTTGCCTCTTGAAACCGATCGAATTTGCAATGGATTCGGTGTTTCAGAAGATCTTTAATTATTTTCAAAATCTGTGACATTAATCAAATCTGTGTATTAATAAAAATATAGAAAATGCAAGGTTGCAATTTTTTTTAAAATTTTAATTACTCGGGCTATGGATGACCCAACTTGACAAATCTCGAATATCAGCCCATCGGTGCTTTTTCTTTCGAAGATAAAATGAAAAAAAAAAAAAAAAAGAAAAAAAGGAGGAAGGAACACAGTGCCTAGTAAGCGATAATATCGCGGCCGCAATTACAATGACTGGCATAACAACAACGTTTTCAAACGTAGGAGGATTTAATTACGCCGACGAGGGAAATTTTTCGCGGTATTACAAAGTTTATTTCGAAAGCCGACGAAACTATCCGGCCTCCTCGAGGCACGCGGAACGAGCTCTGGAGAACGCCAATTAAAACGTAAACGCGTAACAACGATGGGATCTCACTTTGATGAATGTAAGTTTAGACATGACTCGTATAGGATAGGTGAACAAAAACAACGCGGAACGTAAATTCAACTCATTCATTGGCCTTTACCTCCTCGTCCTTCGTGACGTCAATGGTGAAAGAAAAATGTTCCGTTCGTGTATTCCATGCTTGAAAGACTGAAATCTTTTATTGGCTCCTCTTAGGTTTTACAATCAATCAGTTTGATTCAAAGTTTTATCATTAATATCACTTTGGTTCTCAGTTTGTTTTTTTATTATTATTCACCCTCGGACAGCGGACCATGGAGAGAGATCCAAGTTTAATTTACTGTAATATTTTACATTATTTTAATTTTCTAAATTTTACACTATTCGTTTAAAAATTATACATTTATTATTGATCAATATTCTTGTACTTGTTTGGGTCATCATCGACCTAAGCTCCACTGGTCAAGGGTTAAATAATACAAGGGTGTAGTTAGTTTCAATATCTCCTAGTTATATAATAACAATTTTTCGTTGCGTACATTGATATTGTTAATTGTTCCTCACTTCCTCTCGCCTTCATGGTTCTCTTAGAGTACACACGTGTGCACAATGGCGGTAAGAAAGTAGCAGCGAAACGTACAAACCAAACAATAGTTCTGGCGCAAAAGAGCCAGTCCTTTCGTATAGAAACCATAGAAAAAGAAGAAGATGGAAGTTTCTTCACGATGTCTTTTGAAATAGCTGCACCTGCAATCGTTTCATGTGGAAGTTACGCCACTGTATTATTCCCTTCACCTCTTTCTCTTTTCCCATCTGTTGGTCTACATATTTCGTTCAGTTTCCTGTGCCTGGAACCACCATCTTTTCGATGGTGTACTATTTAAAAGAGATGATGACCTTGAGATCTATAGAACGTCCCCACTTCCGGAGTCGACGCCTGCATCACGTGACGCTCCAACATTTAAGTTTCCCTAGTGACGTTTATTTCTATCGTCCACCATTTTAGAACTATACCCCAGTCGCGTGAGACGCCGCGTATAGCGTGGAATGTTTACGATAAGAGTACAATGGATTCTTTATTTTACCGGTTGTTGACTTTTCGATCGGATATACGGGCGTATCTTTTTTATTTGCAATGCTGTTGATTAACTATTCATTTGTAACCCTTTCACGATAAAAGGAGCGAAGATTACTTAGGTTAGGATTCCATGCGTCGCTGTTGGTAAAACAGGCCGAGTACCGTGCATGAAAATAATGAGCATCGAAGGAGACATCGAGAAACGTTCGGCTGGCAAAGCTCGCGATAAATACAGTCTTTCCCCTCGTTCTCATTGTTTTTTTTTTCTTTTCTTCTTTTCTCTTTTGCACGCGCAGTTAGCAAGCAAGGAATCGAACGACAAGGCTCTCGGCTTTCTCCACGATGCAAGGGGGAAGCATAAACGACAAACGTCAAACGGAATATAGGCGCGGTGGAGTTGTAATACCGACTACCGTTACTTCTCATTCTTCTACCTCCTTACTCTTCTCCGCCTCTCTTCTCGCCTTTCTCTCCCACACCTCCCCAGCTAACGATCTCCTTTATAACCTGCCTCGAGATACGCCTTCGACGTTTCTGCGACACGTTTCGATCCTCGCCTACCTTCCCTTGCTTCGCCATTCGGCTCGGTCGCCTTGAAAAGAGTAGGATATTCTGGTAATCCCACTTGTTTGTTGACCGCCGTCAGGTAGTTTCCACTTCTGGAAGTTAACGACGGTGATTCGAAAATGACTTCTCAAGATTTCGCGATATATCCGCGCTTTTTTTCTCTCTGTTCGTTAACATATTAACCGCTCCGATGGCCATCGCTAAATGGCGCTATGAATTTTGATTAGGTGTGTGGCCAGGAAAGAAGGAACGATATAGGACTTCAAATGTCATTAATTTTTTATTAATAACACAAAATTACATTTTTGCTTTGTTATTTATAAACAGATTTCTTCATGAACAGAAGAAAATAATGAGAAGTTATTATCCTGACTCGTTATTTTATCATTTTATTCTTGTTTGAACTTCAGACAAGAACTTCCTTGATACAAGAACCTGTTTGCAGTTCAAATAAGGATAAATAGATTTAAATAATAAAATTACGTGTTCACTTGAATTGGCTAACTCAGTCGTTTCCATTGGTCGATGTATCATCAAGTATCAGTGAAATATCGATAACTTATCAGTGATCAACAATAGCGCCTTTAACGCGGAGTATAAATCCTACAAGGTCTTTCTCAAGTTTTTGATAATCCGAGGTGTAGGCTCAAGTCTGAAACTCTACCGTATATCACAGTCGTGCACTGTACGTGCAAATGTGTCTCCTTTTGCCTTTCATTCTCGTCCGGACTGCGTATCTGCATTAAAATAACGGCACCTCGGCTACGACACAGACGGCAGTCACCTAACGTGACTATAGCTTCGACCTCGAACCCACGCGGCCTCGTAGTCGACGACGGACTGCTTGCTTGCTTTCTCCCTTATATTAGAATAGGAGAGCAGATAACGCGAGTGAATTATTGCCACGATTGCATTCGCGTTGATCCTCGCGCGTCCCGTCTTCCTCCGTCTTCGTAATCCGTTTTTATTTAAACGTCCGTGCCCCCAGCGAGTAAGAAACGACGGTAGAACGCGTCGGTGGCTGCTGCCACGTCCCGTCCGCCTCGGTTCCCGGTCCCGCGTGTTTTATGTGCCAAGGAAGTTTCTGTGTGAGGTCCACGGCGTCTTCTGCGAAAGACGGTAATAGAAACGTCGCGTGTATTGTAATAGCCGGTGTTGATAACCTTCGTCTGCGGAGAAGCGTAAATAACCGAAGCTTGTACTATCGTCGCTGCTGACATTGTCCGCGAGCTTTTGAACCTGTCGGATCTTGGTCGCGCGCGTGCCGCGACTTCCCGTTAACTTCGCTCCGGTAAGAAATCATCACTATCGGGTTTGTGAATCGAAATAATGTATTTCGTTGCATTTCGATCGGTTAAATTAATATTCTGAACCACGTGGCAGTTCTGATATTTCAAGTGTACACTTTGGTGCGGTGTAAGTTTCTTTCGGATAAGAACAGGAGTATTAACTTTGAAGGTTAGGGTATGGTTTAGTATTTATTTCAAAAGAAAGTAGTTCGGTTGACCTAGAGTGGAAAGCCAAGTAACGTGCGTCGCCAACTCTCAGTAAGGAACCTTGGTATGTATAAGAAAAAGCATAGTATAACTTTTTATTAATAATAGTAGACACTGTACAAGTTAAATAATGTCACGGCACACCGTCTATCGATCAAATGGTTAAAAAAATGTGGACTTATCTAATCAGTCATAGAAGTAATCCCCCGGTATCGACGAACGCGTCATACCAATATCAGATGCGGCGTTAACAAAAACACAAATCGAAAGAAAGCAAGAAGTCAGGCTGACACGATCGAACGGTCGCGTAAATTCGCTGCGCTGTAACTGCACAATTTCGTTCGCGAAAGTCGTGTCGCGTACCCGCTCCCCTTTTCGGTATTCTATCCCTCTTAAAAGTGTGCGCGTCCGTTTCATCTCGCTCCACCGTTCGCGTGCTCCCTATATTCCCCTTTTTTCCCCCCTGCACCTGGATCACGTTGCATTGTTCGGTCTGGCAACGGATATACAGAAGCGAAATGGCAGCAGGAGAGAAGCCTGAAAGAAAGAAGATCCAGAAGAAAAGGGACAAGAAGGAACGGCCGTTGAACGAAGAAAAACGAAGAGGACAAATGGCGACGTCGGTGAAGGGGTAGGGAGAGAACGGAGATGGAGGGTGTGAAACGTGAGAGAGAGACAGAGGAAGGACAAGGATAGAGGGAGAAGTAGAGAAAGAGAGAGAAAAAAGGCAGAAAGCGTGGGGGCTAGAGAGAGGTGTTTTTCTTCCAAAGGGAACTTTGCACGTTCGTCTTGCTAGTGGCACGACGCCGCGCCACGCCACGCCACGCCGTGGTGGAATCGGGGAGGGGGCAAGCGAGTTGTCAGTACCCCGAGAGAGTCGGGGTCGTGGCGGTATAGAGAGAGGGAAAAAGGAAGGAGAGGTAAGCCGATAGGGGAGTGGAACGGGAACGGGTCGACGAGGATAGGGGAGTCTTTGGACACTACGCGATACGAGGAAGGATAGAATCGAGCCGAATCGTGGTGGGGTGGTTCTCGGCTAGAGGAGAAGGGCGTCAGCTGCGTAGAGGCAGCTGAAGAGGGGCCAGGGGGTAAGAGAAGCGGTTGGAACGAGGAGAGCTGAGTCATAGCGCTGTTGCCACGTCCTCGCCGGCCTCGTTGAGGCGTCCCAACACTGCTGCTTGCGACGTTTGCGGCTTATGTCAGTGTCGTCTGCCTAGAATGGTACTGTTGGAAGACTTTTCGTACCTTCTACGCTTAGATAGAATAGAGCATCTCTCTTTGAACACAGGTTTATTCTTAAGCAAATCTCACCTCTCATAGGCTTTTAACCTACTTGAATTTGAATCATCATTTTTGCTCTAGAACTTGTCTTACTCTAGATTTTCATAGGACAAATTAGTTGTTTTCAGGAATAGAGTGAAATCATGAAAACGACGGTGTCTGGTTCTTTAACCTCCAAAGGAAATTTCCGGCAATACCGACATCCTCGTAGTACCAGTCAGCTTTTTTTATTCGATTTGCTGTGAACCAAGGTGGAATCACGAGAGGGCAAGAGGGGGTCGGGAAGAAGTCGAAGAACAAAAGCCTTCTTTCTTTGTTGTTATCCTGGTAGTGCTCGTTCGGCATTGTATTCCTTTTTATTCGTACCGTTCTTCGTGGAATCGTAGAACCTCCATGTATTGTTGTTAGATCGACACATTCATAGGGCATGGAATTTCGAGATCCAAAGAAACGGAAAGCATCCCTAACCATGGATCCTTTTTTTCCAATGATACTCCCCTCCGCGGTGAAAAGTTACAATTTTAAGGCAGCCTTTACGTAACGCGGAACGTTCCCGTCAAGTTTCTACGATGAAAGTTTGATCGGTGAATTTTACAATGAGTTTCCGCGAACCGAGAAAATCGTCCGCTTCCTTTTCCTTGCTACAGACTAAAATCCTACCAGTGCGATACGTTAATTGATTTGTACAAGTAGAGAATTTTTCCGTCTCCCTTTCCCTCTTTCCACACACATACACACACCGGGGTAGGAACTCTTAACCGTGGGCCGATGTATTGATTTCCTGTACGTCTCCCATTTCAAACGTAGAAAGACAAACGATCATTCAAGTGGATGCCCACTATGGTGGATCATGAGATTCGATTCCTCAAAGGAACTGTTCCGATCAAACACGTAGTCGATGCACTTTCAATATTTATGGATAATCTGTTCATTTCACATTTTTTATATTAATATTAATCGACCACCGGAAGGTTACCATTCCGGTATGAATTTGATCAGAAAACGATGGCCGATAAATGGGACTTTGTATCACTGAAAAATTAAAAATCGCAGGAACGAAGAACGTCATCGTCACACACTTGGATATTCCGTGTTAATTATCACTGTATTCCCTCGACACAGTAGATACGTATTCAGTTCATAGACCCGGTGTCGAATAATTTAAAATCAGTCGGAGGATACGGGTGGTACGTTTTCGCGCGATGACCGTGCCTTCGGTGTCTCCTTCGAGAGGGGGTCCTCCCGGTACGTTGCAAACTTTTTCGCTACGGAAAAACATGACTCTGACCTAGAAACTTGAAATTTATGGAAAGTCATGCTAATGTTTTCACATGAAACTCCTCATAGTTCAGAAACGAAGGAATCGAGGTTGGGAACGAGTCTGCCGAAGTAAAATTCCTCGACAAGCAGCGAACGAGAATTTCTGGAGGGGAATGGGTACGGGGTTCGCGGCTCGCTTGCCAGCCAGCCAGCCAGCCACCGTGGCACTTGGGTTCTCTCCCCCTTCCTCTTCTGGCCTTCTATCTTATTTCTTCTCCTCTCGTCACTCCTCTCTCACCCGCTTTCACTCATGCGTGTCAGAGAAAAGGACGTTTGCCGTGTATGTGTGTGAATATATATATATATATGCAAGAGTTTTCAGTACTTCATGACTGTACGTGGATATGTGAGCGTCTCACGCGAAGATGTGTAGGGGAAGAAAACAAGAGGGGGTGGGGGGCAGTGGGTGCCAAGTGGGATGGGATGGGAAGTCTTGCAGCCACAACGTACAGATCGCGATCAATTCTCTTTCGCAAAATATCACGTAGAATGACGCTGCCAATAATTCCGAATTAATATAAATCCTCGTTTATATCCACTGGTTTTTAAAAAAATTCACTTTATGGAGTAGCCATTGCACTCATCGTGTAAATATTTTAGCGAAGAAACGAAATTTCGAAATTAGCACTCCACACATCACACGGTTAAATGATCCGCAAATATCCAACGTAAATTGCCATATTACAAGTAAACGCGGGAAATGTGGAATGAGAATGATTGCAGGAATCGCGTGTGAACGGCACATAGGTGTTGCGGCTGCCATTTTGTGAGAACAATCTTCCAGAAGATGCGTACGTCCTGATATTAAAACTTATTCGTTTCAGTCGTTTCACCTCTCCTTTTGTCGAAGAGAAATCGAGAGATAAGTCCGAAAAATGAGTTGCCGAATCAGAAATCGTTCTAGAAAACGTAATCTCTTCTTACACACGGTTTCAGACTGTTTCAACACGCTAAACAAATTTTCGACATATTTCAAGGAAGACGAGCAACAGCGAGGAAGATAATAAGCCGTTAAACAAAGAGTTCGCGTGCCTTTTTCTCGCCATCGAATCACACGCAATATGGTAGAGCGACCACGCCCCATTCCAAAACGATCCGACATAATCACGAAATATAAAGAAGCGTTCTGATATTGCGACAAATCGAACGTGTCCTCCATTGTATTTTCGTTATTTTACAAAGTAAATCCACCGTTCGTCGATTTCGTAACGGCCTAACAAATACTTTCTGCGCAGTTAATCCAAGCGAACTATCAGTCCAAGGTGTCGCCCAGTTCTCGCGCATTCTCCCTCGCGTTAATACTGACGCCTGTGAGCGTAAAGAACAAACAACGGATTATTTTGATATGCATTTTCCGTTGGTATTATTGTAAGCTGCGTGTATAATATGGTCCGGAAGAAAAAAAAACAGAGGCTTTCTTCGGAAGAACGCACAAGAAAATACGTGCGACTCACGCGAGATTAGACGAACAACTCCCCGAGATACTCTGAAACCGTTGAAGTCTTTGCGCTTGCGCACAGTATTCTTCTCTGGATCGACCAATCAGCGCGCGTCCCTCCCCAGTCCCGTCGGTTACCCTACCTCACCTAGTAAGTCCGTTTCTACTACCGCGCCAAGCTTTCTGTACATAGGGTGTGCCAGAAACAACTTTGGCTCTTTGTTTTCTTTAATTTCGTCGAAATTCAATATCTCCCTTCTCTGTAGGATAAAAACAAGCGCGTTTTCTTTAAGCCTACCGATTTGCAATTGCAATGAAGCAAAATGAATAAAGAGCGTACTGTTTCATTTCTTGAAAAATAAACCTACACACCTGCTGAAAAAAGAGTAATTTGACTCTCCGAGTTTTGCGCGGTAACGGTAACTTGATTATTGAGGATTACAGCTTATACCGAGGTATGGATATCGTAAATTTAGTTATAAAAACTTGTCTTTCTTCCAGCGTAGCAAAGAAAGACTTCTATTGAAATTTCATTCCATTTCGTCATTATTATCATACTTTTTATCACTTCATATTATATGCCTACGTTGCATAGTTCATCTAACTAGTGAGATGTTGTTTTGCAATCTTATGAAATCATGGTCTAAGATAAATGCCCCAAAGACCTGACGTTCCCTTGGTGTGTTACAATATTTGCAAAGGCATCCATCTATCATACTACTAGAATCATGAACTTTTATGTTATCGTCGATTACATAACCTCTATTTACAGAATTGATTTACCAGAAAAATATACTTCTATCACATAAGCAAGTTGAAATGCTTAGCAAAATGTTGTAATTGGATGTAAAATTGGATTTTTCTGTGAATGTTTCAGGTATGGACGCGTGCAGAGCGTCAAGTTGCTGCCGCGGGGCGAAGAATGCCCCGTGGACGGAGGTTCCGGTGGTTCCCTCGGAGATGGCAACGAGGGTGGTTCCGGTTCCAGTTCAGGCAGCGGCGGCAGTGGCGGGGGCAGCGGTTCCTCAGGCAGCACCGGGGGTGCCTCCGCGACGGTGGCGTTCATGGATATCAAGTCCGCAGCGAAGGCCCACGCGACTGAGCATACCTTGGACGAACGAGCCCTTACCACACAATACTACGAGCCCCAGCATCTACAGCACAGGTTTCCCTCGCACGGGTAAATTTCATTGCTTTCATTTACTTTGACCCTAATTTTTTTTTGAACACCCTGTATATCATGAATCTTGTCTGGTCGACACTTATCGTTAGGAGGCACTTATTTTCTGTTTTGTTTATTAAAACTATTAATAGGAAGTTAGACGTAATTAAATAGAACTACAATGATATTCAAAAATGAAACCCTTATCTATTTGAAAAGTTTCATCATTTTTTAGCCCAAAGGAATTCAACAAGTTTTTATTTCTCTTGTAAGGTGGTGGGATATTTTGGTTGGCGAAATGGCACGTATATAAATGTTTGCTTTTTGTGATGAGTCACGTTGCAAGAATTAATTAAATCGCACGTCACACAGGAAGCAGGTAAAACGACATTGAAATGTTGTTACGGACGAATGGCTGTTCCCCATTCTCTTTCATTTAACAAAATTTACATACGGTCTATTCTAATTTTTATTTTTTTTTTTTTGTTTCATGATAACTTTAACCTTACACCTGTCGTTTTGAAAAAAGTAGAGCAAACAATTATTTAAAAATACTTTATAAATGTTACGTTACTGTTCTAGTCATTTATCAATATCGCAAGTCATTTTTCATGATACGATAATACACTTTAGTGTACATTTAGATATCAGTGGGAGTATATTTTCGCAGTAAAAAGTAGTGTGATAAAATTTGAATCATTTACTTAAATTTCAAATTGTGCTCTACAACTCTAGAATAAAAAGAGTCTGAAGTTCAGAGTTACATTTATCGATAAAGTGTATGAGTGCAAAGCAAGTACTTATGTTCTGAAATGCTAAACAGATAAGAATAACGAAAAATGTTTACTTCGTGTCGTTTCGTATTAGATACAATATTGAGTTGCCGCGATTTTGATAGCAATCGCTACATTGTGGCCAAACGTATCTCGATCGTATCGAACCTCGAACTCGAAGCTTTGATTTTTTTCGCGCGCAAACTATACACAGTTATTTTTCAATGGCGTTACCTCGGTCTTTGCTATAGATTTATTTAATAATTTGGCGCCAGGATAAAAATACTTTTGATTCAGTATGAATATTGTTGCTTGTATTTTAACCTTTGCAGTGTTACGGTCAAGGCTGACTCGACCCCGTGGTTTCATAATGCTTATTTTCGTTTCGATTCGGACGTTGTACACACAGATGTGTTCTGAAACTTTTTGCAACGTCGTAAAAATGACTTATTTTAAAACGCTCGAAAAATAAATATATTTTACGATGTTTCGTGTTGTTTCAACACTTTGTGGAAAATAATGGATTTCTATTAACCTTTGAAAAATGAATACTTTGGGAGTGACGTGACACACGACTACAGAGTCATTTTCATTCGTTACCATTTTTAAATATATGTATTTTACGTATAAATATTTTTATACATGGCGGCCAACACGAGTACCGATAAATGACCGCCATCAATAAGGAGCTTTAATTTCCTGTACTACCCGACCATTACCAGAAACGTACCGAACGTTTTAATAACTCAATAAAATATATTCCGTCGCTTCCAGAGTCATTCTGTTGAAATATATGTCCATGGCTTGGAATAGATTTAAACGAAATTGAAGCAAACCGACGCGACGCGTTAAATACGTCGCGGACAAAGGAATAACCCGATAAAATCCATTTCCGCGTTCGAATTGTTCGTTTAATAACGAGTTCCATAAATCAGCTTTATTCCTAAAACGATTTTCCCCTCTGTATTCGTTCGTCGCTTTCGAAATAATGCAACAAACTCATTGAAACAATTTTCATTACCAATGTGGCCGAACAATCTATAGCCGTCCACAAGCCTTAACCTAATAAACGCTTCGGTATATACAACACCTACGAAGCCATATTTTCTGCTTGTTTTTCAGAACGCAGATTGTACTCGTGTTTTCTCGTCGATCGTACGGTGCAACGTAATACAATTATACCAATATCGCTCGTCACGAGCACACCACATAGTCCCCGCACCGAATCGCGTTCATGGAAATAAACTGGCTCGATAATAATCGATCAACGAAGGCCGGTTATCATGTTATTGTTCGTTGGCACATTGACGTGTTCGTCGTCGTAATCCATATTCACGGTGGTGCCACTCTTCGAACTTCGAAATCTTTTTGCCACGCACTTGTTTTACCAGGCCACGTGATATACATATACGGTGTCGCTTTCCGTCCCGGCTATTCCGGTCTCCGTACGCGTTCCGATTAAATCCCCGTCCATTAAACGAAGAAGCTACTTTTCTCTGCTGTTCTTGTAGCGACAGTAAAGATTTTTATATTCCTGTGTGTTCCGTCGATAGTCTTGTCGAATTCACCATTTTATTGATATTCTGAAGAAAAATAATAGCAATATTCTGCCAGCATTTACCGCATACCTTATTCGCGCCCGTGGCAGCGTCGCGTTTCCACGAAAATTCAGGTGACCGTGACGACGTGGTTATAGCGACGTACAACTGCGCATGCGCCGGCGACTGCGCACTGACAATGAGTGGGGGTGGTTTAAGTGCCAGTTACGTAGTTGGTAGACTATGAACCCGTGTCCATTGGGATTGATAATAATTTTAAGAATTAGAATGCTATTGTTCTTTTTAAAGATTGTTATTATTCTGAAAATAGGAGGATAATTTATAATATTCTTTTTCAATAAGTCCGAATAGATGATCATTAGTCATTTACGTTTTTTGCAGGTTTAAATCCTAATGTTCGTTTAATGTGCAAATTGATGACTACAAGTATATAATGCTCTTTCTTAAGTGTTTGTCAAATAGATATATAATTATTCATCTTATCGTCATAATTATCAAACAAATAGATTGATCTGTTCGTCTGGACAGTGACATCATTGTTGAAAGTTTACGAATTAATAATAAGGATTACAATTTGCATATGAATCATACATATGAATGACCACGTCGGTATAAAGTACACCGTGTACATGTGACTTTCGGTCCGTCTCGTTTTAACGAAACGATCATTATGCAGACAAAATTTTAATGACCAATTACGTATCCGATTACATAACATTTATTAACATGGTGTTGCATGATATGTTAATGAATATTTTTATTTAAAGATTGGTAGTTCCAGCGTGTTCTGTATTAACGAGTGGTCGCAAATAAAATAACACGACCCTGAAAATATCTTATCGGTAGCCATGTCGCATATACCAATTACTGTTTTATAACAAACTTAAACACGAGATTCTAGGAAACCGTGTACGTAGTCCGTCATAACAAAGCAAAACAACGTGGCGCTTTCCAACAGTTAAACACTGATATCCGGTACAGAATTGTTCGCGCATATACTTAACCGAAAGAAAGTTCGCATGACGTCTAGACTAATTTTGTAACTTCCAACGAAAACACATAGTACATATCTTTTCTTATATCTCGCATAGTAATTCAATAACGTGTGTTACAAATGAAATGCACCTTGTAAAAATGTTTCTTCTCTAGAAACCCCCTTATGTACGAGATAAGCTTCGTTCGTATCAATGCTCCATTCGTATCGCGTTAATGCAGACATTAACCTCAAGTTTCTCGTTCGATACATTTATAACGATGCAAGATTTCGAGTACCCCCCTTTTTTTTTATATATATTGTTATCTGAAATTTTTCGAGCACGAATCTCTAAATAACGAGGTCAAATCGATAAGACTGATATGATCCTGAACAACGGTCAGATCGTCTACCGAGTGGACTTTCCGAGGACGTGTGTTTGCACAGCGGATCCGCATCGATGGTATCGAATTGCCATCGGTCGCGTGACTGATACCGTATATCGTTCTGTCCTTCGTGCGCAAACCAATGACTGTGGATTCGTTTGCAGATATTTGCATGCCTTTTTTTCTGATAAAAAACATAAAAAGGAATTGATCACGTTACCCATGCGAGACCGAACAGAAGAATGCGTTACATATAACCGTATCCTCTATCTGGAGGTGCTGCTATCAGTAACTTTATTGATAGCGTCGTTGAGATTTTGCCGTGCCTTTTATGGTCACACAATTTTTGTTTTTTTTTAATACACGAGAGAAAAATATTAGATCTTCTCTGTAGTTTACTCGGTTTTTATTTTAACAATCATATTATGTGTCACAATTAAAATGTATCGCTGAAAATTTTATCACTGAGCGGTATTATCGCAATGGTTTTGCAAGAAATCTTGTGAAACATATTTTGATTAAATTGCACAAGGTGGACATGTTTATTTGCGTACAAAACGTTTTTCGCTAGCGATGACCAACGCGTCGGAATGTTGTAACATACAAATATTATTAAAAATGTAAGAAACCTTAAATAAGGAAGAGTTCAGATGTGGGAGAGAAATAATTTTGAAAGAAACGGTGTAAAATTGAGAAAATGAAAAAAATATGAAATACAGTATTGCGTTAAAATTGGGGCTCTATAAGACACACGCATTCGTGTGTAACTCCAATTGCTCATGCAAGAATTATCTAAAGAACAGGCCCATAATATTACAAAATCATCGAATCCGTGCTGCGTTCACATCAAATATTGCCACACAGGCGTCCAACGAGGGCACACGAAATCGTGCATTGCGCAAATGAACGTCGTTCGATGAAAAGGTGCGTGTTCGATGGAACAAAAGCGATTCCAATAAGAATAAGAAGGGAAAAAAAAAGAGGCTGTCGTCCGGTTAACGGAAAAATTTCTCTGCTCGCATGGCAACGTGCCTGTATTCCTCTCGCGGGCAAACAAGATCGTTCGAGAAACGAGAAACGAAACGTCCACGCGTAATCCAGCCTTTAAAGAGATTCAGGTCGAAGTTTCACGCCAAGGTGGGAGATAAGCCACACGATGACCGTATGCCGTATGGTAACGGAACGAACACGAAGAGAGGAGGCGTTTGGAGAAAGGCCGGTTGATTCTTCGTTCGCGATTACGCTCCTTGCATGTCGTTACGACGAATACACGGTACGAGATCCACCTATGCATGCCGCATAAACACCGTCCAGCAAGGATACTTACAGAGCGAACTTCCAGGCTGAATCGCGATAACCGGCCACGTTTTCGAACTTTGAACCCGACGGGTTTACGATAAAGATGTAGGAAGAAGCGTGCTCGGAGATGACTGGAAATGTCGCGTGTTCCTCGAATAGAATAGTAGAGGAGACTTGCATAAGTTGCTTCTGATCGTTCCGATGAGCTGTGAATAGGTAATTCTAGGAATTTCAATTGAACGATTCATAAGAAAAGAGTGAAATTTTCGTGAAATTTTAAGTTTGAAATTGATGCGACATAGGTGTCATTTTATCACACCTTTTTATGCCATCAAATTTTATCATTTAGAGAACGTAGAATATTATCTTATGATGTATGGGATCAACGAACGTTTTATCCTTCGTGCATATTCATTTTAAATTTAATAACGCAAGATTGACGTATCAGTATCCAAGTTTCTAGCGATTTGACATTAGGAAACGAGCCGACCAGCGGGTGTGAGAAGCTCGTGGGATAATATTCACCTGGCGCCAATAGCGTCAGAAATATGATTGATGTCTTTAGTATTAAGCGATCTAGGAGTAATTTCGTTTTAAATTCCCCCTTAATAAAACTATAGAAGTAGTATACCACTGCGATCCTGGCAAAAAGGACGTCTATCCATGATTTACATATTATAAAATCTAATCTTAATAGAACTTGATACTTGGCACCGATATTAGTGAAAGGGTTAGCCATCCTTTGTGTCTGCTTAAGATACATAAAAACACAAATTCTTCGTACGCGATGATCTCATAAATGGTGAAACGGAAATATACGGTGCGACCAGTCTCGTTAGGGCCCAAGTATGATTTCAGCACGAGAGTTAACGCGAGCGTCGCGTGTTGCAGAAGTTCGGAGGATCACGGATCGAGCGGGGTTACCGGCGGAGGAGGAGTCAGTGGAGTCGGAGGAGGCGGTGGCGTCGGTTCCGGCATCGTCAGCGGAAGCGTTGTCAGCGGAGTCAGCGGCGGCGGCGGCGGCAGCGGTAGTGGTGGCAGCAGCGGCGTCGGCGTCGGCGTCGGAGTCACCGTCGGTGGAGGCGGCAGCGTCGGAAGCGGAATCGGCGGCGGGAGCGGCAGTGGTGGCGGTGGCGTTGGTGTCGGCGTCGGTGGTGGCGTTAACGACAGAGAGAGGGACCGAGAGAGGGAGAGGGAGAGAGACAGAGATCGAGAGAGAGACAGGGATAGGGAGCGGGATAGAGATCGGGAGAGAGAGAGGGAGAGGGAGAGGGATCGTGAGAGGGAGAGAGAACGAGAGAGAGGAGGAGAGAGCTTCGAGTCGCGTGGCTCGCACGGCAGTTTCTATAGCAGCGAGAGAAGCGGTCGAGGGGTCGGATCCGGGGGTGGTGTCGGTGGTGTCGGCGGCGGCGGTGGCGTCGTCGTTGGCGGCCATCCGGCTGATCCTTCTGCCGGTGATCCTGGCGGCTACATACCCCGCGGCCGTCCACCTCCAGCCAGCTCTTACCACGTGACATCGACCAGGGCGAGGGATCGGCTCTACTCGAGAACCGGCCCGTATGCCTCCGGGCCGCCGCCCCCGCCCCACTTAGATCGTCATCGCGGTGGCCTGCCACCGTCATCCTGGTCGGCGTACGAGTCGACCACCTCGAGGTACGGCAACGCACCGCCGCCACCCTCGCCTGCCAACAACGACGCCTACCAGGACGAGCAAGGTAATTGCCCTTATACCTACAAATGCATCAACTCCTGCCTCTCTATACTATATGTCTTATGTGCTTGCTTCTTCCACCTTTGCGTCTGCGTTTGCGTTTGCGTCTGCGTCTGCGTCCACGTCCACGTCCCGCGTGTCTTTTTGCAGCTGGATACATCCGTGTTTTCTTCCTTTCCTATCTCCTCCCTCTTCCACACGTACCATGCTTATGTGCGCGCGATTCCATGCTCTCGGTCGACGGCAATTGTGTTCGTGATTCGCGATCGACGACACGTGGTCGAGCCGATCCAAGGCTGTCCAGACATTCGACGATTTATGAGTCTGAGATAACGTCTTTGGTATTAAGATTCGGTAGTTATGTAATCCTTTCACCTTTCTGCCGTATTCACGTGTGCTGGTTGTTGTTTCGTTTGGCAGGTGTTCCTTCCAGTGATCGTTCGGCTACCGTTGAATCTTTAATAGACACGAGCGTGATTTCGAAATGGACACGTAGACGAAAATAACTCACGATTCGATATTTCTGCGACTTCCTTCGGCAACGTTTTGCGCGGGAATCGCGGCGTGTGCTCAGCCAGATTTCCCGCCAACAGAAGGGTTACCACGCGATACTGTCGTTATGCATGCTCGTTATTAGGGTACCGCTATGAAATCCAAAGCATGACAATCGCTCGCAACTTTAATTAATCCACGTACACTCGCTTGCAACATAGGTCTCTTTTGATTAATGGGAATCGTAGAGGAAGAAGCTGACCACTATCTTCATTACTCTTTGTTCTTTACTTAAAGGAACAAAAGAAACATCTCTTAGGATTTTTCTAGATTTTACCCAAAATCAAAATGGTCATTGACTTCTACCTCTACCAATACACCCATTTACAGAAAGCCTACGTTGCAACCCCCATTGTACCTACATGTTGACGAAACGAAGAGCGGGACGTGGTAGAACGGGTTTGGCGAATCGAGCCGGGTTAATTAGCGGCAAATTGTGTAGCTAGTAATAATAATTACACGGTACGAAGGATCAATAGAATTGGAGAGAAAATAACAATAACGAAACTATACGTGTGTAGATTACATTCGTCGTGTTGTTCCACTAGGCGGCGGTGGAGGTGGCGGCAGCAGTAGCAGCGGTGCGTTACGACAGCACAAAAAACAGCGAAGAAAATCGCGAAGCGGAAGCAGCTCGCCGAGTGGCAGTAGCCGTTCCGGCAGCAGCAGCAGTAGTCGCAGCGGTAGTTCCGCCGGCAGCACTTCCGGGGGCAGCACGTCGCCCGGTAGTTCGCCGCACCGCACCGGAAATGCCGCCGTCACCGAGGACCGCAGGCCGCTCGCTATATGCGTGCGTAATTTACCGGCACGCAGCAGCGACACCTCGCTCAAGGACGGTCTGTTTCACGAGTATAAGAAGCACGGTAAAATAACGTGGGTGAAGGTGGTCGGTGCGGCCGGCGATCGGTACGCCCTGGTATGCTTCAAGAAGCCCGAGGACGTGGAGAAAGCCCTCGAGGTGTCACACGATAAGCTGTTTTTCGGCTGCAAGATCGAAGTAGCCCCTTATCAGGGTTACGATGTCGAGGACAACGAGTTCAGGCCGTACGAGGCGGAGCTCGACGAGTACCATCCGAAGGCGACGCGTACGCTCTTCATCGGCAACCTCGAGAAGGACGTCACAGCGTCTGAGCTTAGGAAGCATTTCGAGCCTTTCGGCGAGATAATAGTAAGTTGGATCTATAACATCCTTCAACTTCCTCCCCCCATTTTATTTCTTTTCTCGTTCCCTTTCGAAGCGGATGGAATATAGAAACGTTAGTTTAAGAGATTTCTCAAACACGTGTATTTCAAAAAATGATGGAGAAAAATTTTGGAATTACTTTCGGCCAAGGTTTTATGTGACGAATCGATTCGATACACACTTGTTTTCGTGTGTCATATTCGTAAAAGGATATTACCATTCGGACGATTCCGCGAAACGAGAGAGGTTTTAAAATTCTAATCGTCTATGCTAATACTTTGGCGAATAACATGCCTCGTTTATTTGATATTAAGATTTCGAACAGAAGTGACTATTCTAAATGGATGTCCACTTAAGACCTGCTTACTGTAAACAGCTAATCACGTTCTATGAATAATTAAATATTAAAAGCATTATTCGATATAATTCAGGATCATCTTATCGAGGAATTAATTCTTTTTGCTATTCAATTTAATAAAAGGACCGTGTTTTCAATGATTTCTCATTATATTTATTATTAGAAAAAAAAAGAAGAAGAAAATGAAAAATAAAAAATTTTGAAACTAACACGTTGATCGCCACAAGTGTCATCATTATTCTACAGAGATATTTAAAAAATAAGAATAGGAAGAATATTCTGATAATTCATATTTATTGTATGACGTACAAGATGTACAACTGTCTTTCCGCACGAGCAGTCAACGTGTTATAAAAGAAAACTAGTTGCGGACGATCGAGAATCGTTTAAGGATGTTTATCCAGGGAAGGTAAATAACACTCTCTTTTTTGCGGGAATATTGCAGGAAATAGATATTAAAAAACAAGGCGCTGTGTCGAGCTATGCCTTCTGCCAATACTCCGACATCGGTAGCGTCGTCAAAGCAATGCGATCGATGGACGGCGAACACCTGGGCGCGAATCGAATAAAACTTGGATTTGGAAAATCGATGCCCACCTCCTGCGTATGGGTTGACGGCATTGGAGGTAATTATCGTAAAGAACCGTATTGATTTCTGCAACAATTGCGAGACCAACTGGACGTAAAACTTTCTCTCCTATGGGGGTAGATCTACCCGACCAGGCTCGAACTTTATTAAACAGAATGCGATTCAAACTAATTTCTCTATTCACCTTCTGCTGCATGTATTAAACATAACTAAAAAGCGTGTAACAAGCGATAAGTAGCTTCGACTAATTTTAATAAGCTTGTCAATCAGACTCGAATCAGAAAAGCCTAAAACGATTCTTTGCAGCGCAAAGGGTGGATATATAAATAAAAAGAATTAGCATTGAATTGAATCGGTAGGTGGATAATAATTGTTCAAAATGATTTTCTAGATTGTATGTCGGAAAAGTACCTGAACATGCAGTTCCATCAGTTCGGACCGATAAATCAGGTCGTGGTGGATCGCGAGCGTGGCCACGCTTTAGTCTTCTTCGAGCAAATCAGCTGCGCTCAAGCGGCCGTGAAGGAGATGAGGGGTGCGGCCCTTCGCGGTCGTCGACTTCAGGTCGATTTCGCCTCCAGAGAATGCCAGGAGACGTTTTACGAGCACCTAGAGCGACAGGGTATCGCCAGCGATAAGACTTGGGACACGAGACCTTCGTCAGCGACCACCTTCGATGTCTCGTACGTATATTATTTCTAGGTTCCACTCGAGCCTCTCTTCCTAGGCGAATCGTACATCCGAATTTTCTTTCGAAAATAACGCAGAATCTTTTCTGGCGAGGTATTCGACAAAATTTTCTGGAATATTTGGTAAATGTTTTTCGGAGGCGACAGCGTCACGAATTAAGTTCTCTGTGTTATCGAATTCGGTGCCAAAATAAGATACTGCACGTATTTGCGACCAGATGACAATTCGTTGTCTTTGCTTTGCGTTTCTTCACGCTCGACCTTGGATTTAATTTAAAAATGCATCTGTGCTTTCTGGAAACTAGAAACTTTATCCTGCTGAAATTTTGATGAATGAAAACGCGGCACGAATGTCCGCAAACAGGAAATGGTGTTGTGTAAGAAAACACGATTGTTTGTAATAATTTTGTATGTTTATTCTTTCGTCATATCTCGAAGCATTGTAAATAAATAATAAGCAAAAAGATACACAATGGTTGATAAGCGTTAAAGAAGTTATATTTGAAATAAAATGAAAGGAAAAGAATGATGAAACTTTGGAATACTCTTTGGGGAAGGATATTCAGTTTATTAAAATAAAGAATACAATTTTAATTATCCCTCTAAAACTGATTAGACTTCCACTGTTAAATACACCGAAGAAAGTTTGTAAGATACCTCGTAGGGACACTTTAATTATACAATGGCACTCAACTCTCAGTTTGAATAGTCCAAAAGTAAATTAAAAACAGTTGCGACCAGGGCCAAGCTGACTCTGGCTTATAAGCTCAACGGTAAATTGAGAGTTGGGTGCAGCCCGCGCGTCTCGCATTCTAAGAACACGTAATATACAAGTACACTCGTTATTTGAAGGATTCCTTCCAGGCGGGAGCGTAGCAGTTTCGACTCAGGGGTGACGGTGTCAAACTCGAGTAGCAGGTTTACCCGGTACGAGACGCCCCCGAGGTCGAGAACGGCGAGTTACTCCCGCGCTTCTGGAGGAGGAAGCACACCTGGCGCCAGTCCGGCGCATCCGACCGCTATGTCACGTAGCAGTAGGCGATCCTATCAGGACACCTACTACGACGGCGACTATAGCGAGCCGGCACCGCGAAGATTCCGCAGCTACGACGAGTTCAGCCAGGGTAGTGGGGCCAGTCACGACGATTATCAGAGCAGCGTGCTCGGCGACGGGAAGTTGAACGACGACGACTGTCCTCCACCGTCGCGTCGCCACGCGGTGCAAAGCGTCGTTACCAGTGTGGATCCTCCGGCCCCACCGCCCCCGTTACTGCCACCACCTGACATCAGACACCTGCAGAAGGAGCGTGTCCATCTGCTGGAACAATTGGAGGAGTGCCACAGCAGCGGCGACGAGGTTGGCTTTGCCCCGAAGAAGCGCGCGAAACTCGACGGCGCGTCCACCACCACCATACTGTGCGAGGATGACGAGCCTGAGATCGCGTCGTTGCTCGTCACCTCGCACTCCAGTAGGAAAGGCATGGACATTCGACGGGTTAGCGATAGTAAGGTGGTGGTCCATCACGGTACGCGGAGAGGAAGCTGCGAGGGAAGGGGTCCAGGACCTTGCAAACGACGACGCGATGTTACCAGCAGGTATGCGTTGCTTCCCTAATGAATTGATAGTAAAAATAGATCGTACATGTTTCGGGTGTTGTTTGTTCTGTTCCGTTTCCGAGGTCCACCGTGGGGCGTTTGATCTTCGTCCAATAAACGCTAAAAAAAAAAAAAATAAAAAAAAATAAATAAAACGATTTTCATTTAGTTTAACGCTCTCTGTGCTGACCTCTGGAGCTTAAAGTTTCCCCGTTATCGTATAGCAGAGAAATGCTGAACCGATCTTGAGTTTCGTGTAAGAAACATACGAAACGCGTCTTTCACCGTAGATAAAAAAAAAGTATATATATAAAACGAATACAGCATTAGAAGATCAGTTAGAAGGACTTGTTACGAAATAATGAAACTAACGAGACGATTCATTTCTGATAAAGGCATCACGAACATCACGACGGATCGCGGCCGGGCACACCTCTGGTCGACGAGAGGCCCGAAAACTTGGTACCCAGCGAGCCGAGGCGGTTTCGCGAGAGGAGTCACGACGGACCCCTGTCGTTGCCATTGCCAAGATTCGCGGCTCAGATGCTGAACAACAACAACAACAACAACAACAACAACAACAGCAGTAGTAACGCTAGCGGTAGCAACAGCAATAACAGCGGCGGTAATCGTTCGAGTAGCGGGAACCTCGCGAAAGTGACCAGTCCACCGTGCGCTAACCTGTCCTCGACGGCACCCAGTCCTCGAACCGCACCCCAACCGCCGGCCTCGCCACCGCCTCGTCATCCCAGTCCGAGTCCGACGAGCTCCGACAGCGAGACCGCCCCCCAATCACCTAGCCTCGAAGAAAGGATACGCTCCCTCGACGAGAAGTACGAGAAATGGTCCGGTTCTAGAGCGCTTAGCGCGGCCGGTGGCGACGCGTTAGCGAAACTCGATGCCACCGCGTCCGAACGGTTCAGGTTTCGTCACAAACTTCTCGACTTGGATCTACACGAGGTGCAGCCGTCCGACATCGTCAAGTCGGTTCTTGCCAAGAGGAGCGTGTTCGACGAGGATTCGAAACGTTTAGAGAACTTTAGCGAGAAGTACGAACCGAGAGAGTTCACTGGCGTGATAAACGTCAGCTCGATAATCGGCAGCGCAAGCGGCCTCGCATCGAGCGGAGGCTGCACTAGTAAGGTTTGCCTGCAGTATCCATTTCCTAGTCATCCGCCGGTACAGCCGACCAGTAGCGCCTCCACGACCAGTCAGATCGGCACGGTAACGTCTCTGTCTTCGAGTTTAACGACCACCATGTCGTCGATGCTGAAGACGGACCCACGGTCGACGTCGCAGCACAACTGCGTCCATCCGACACCGGCCACCCCCATCACGCCTGGCACGTCGATCAAGACTGTTAGTCCCGAATTACCACCAGTTTCTCTACCAATTGGTCTTGGTGGCGGAATGGCAGCCAGTAGCGGCAATAGTAGTGGTTTAGCGTCAGCGAGTAGTATTCTTAGCAGCAACGGTAGCGTAAGTAGTATTCACGTTCTTGGAGCCTCGACGACACGAGGATTGAGCGGTTCAGCGAGCTCTTCGTTGGTAGCCGCGGTCACCGCTTCGTCGACGGCCTCCTTCTCGACACCGATTGCGACGACGGCGGTCTCAACGACAACCACAACTACCACCACCTCGATGACGACCGCTATCACGCCGTCAACCACCACCTCCACCATTATCTCCACCTCCTTGTCGAGTAATAGTCAGTATCAAACTTCCATGTCCACTACCTCCTCGGTGCTACCGTCTTCCACAACGCCCTCCTCGAACTCATCGTCTTTGTCCTCGTTGTCTTCGTCCAGCAACGATAGCTCTCGGTCTCGTCCGAGGAAGGAGATCAGCAGCAGTAACCGAGAGAGCAGAGACTCGCGCGATAGCAAAGACGGTAGCAGAGAGTCGAAATACAGCAAGGGAAAGGATTGTCAAAGGAAATCGCGGAAAGAGGAGACGGACGTTGAGAGGAGTCGCAAAGATCGAGAGGAAAAGGACAATTCCGCCGTGGTGAATGATAACGGCGACTCGGACAGTCACGCGAGAGAGTTCAAGGAGAACAAAGAGATTCGTTACGAGAGAAAAGAGAGGGACGAGAAGGAACGAAGGGAGAAGGACGACCGCGAGAGGCAAGAACGAAGGGAGAAAGAAGATCGTGACAGACAGGAGCGCAAGGAGCGAGAGGAGAGACGGGAAAAGGACGAGGAAAGACGAGAACGAGAGAGGTTGGATAAAGAACGGCAGGAAAAGGACAAACGAGAGAGGGAGGAAAGGGAACGAGAACGAGAAAGAGAACGCGAACGTGAACGAAAGGAACGCGAGGAGAACGAGGCTAAAGAGAAAGAGAGGAGAGAAAAGGAACGGTTGGAACGTGAAAAACGAGAGAGGGAAGAGAAAGAACGCCAGGAGCGTAGGGAGAGAGAAGAACGAGAGAGGAGAGAGCGTGAAGAACGTGAAAGAAAAGAGCGTGAACTTCGTGTAGAACGGGAAAAGCAGGAGAAAGAACGGCTCAGGAAAGAAAGGGAGGATCAAGAGAGGCGAGAAAAAGAGGAAAGGGACAGATTGGAGCGCGACAGGAGGCGAGAGGAGAAGGAACGATTGGAGAGGGAAAGGAAGCGTGAAAGGGAGGAAAAGGAACGACTAGAAAGGGAACGAAGAAAAGAGAAAGAAGAACGGGAGCGAGCCGAGAAGGAAAAGCGTGAAAAGGAGGAGAGAGACAGGCTCGAGCGGGAAAAGCACGATCGTGAAAAGAGAAGAGAGCGTGAGGACCAAGAGAGAAGAGAGAAGGAAAAGTCTGAACGCGAAAAGAGAAGAGACAGAGAGGAGAAGGACAAAGATAAGAGGGATCGTGACGAGAGTAGACGACAACCCACCGAAAATCATCTCCATCAATCTGTGTCGCAATCTCAGAATCAGATTTCTCCAGCTCCTGTGTCCATCAAGCGGCGATGTTCGTCGCAGGATGGACCGACGGAGGACGAAGCGAAACGTATGAAAATTTCTGAACACCGTAGAGACAGCAAAGATCGGCCTAGACAGAACAGAAGATCGGAGGATCGTAAACATCGCAACGATTCTCATCGTTCGAGTCGGGAGAGCAGAGAATCTCGCGATAGCAAGGAGAGTAGCGGATCAACGCAGACCCAGGACGGCAGGGAATCGACTCACAGCGAAGTAAACAGGGAATCGAACAGGGAGAACAGAGAAAATCGGGAGAACAATCGGGAGGGCGGCAAGGAGAAACAACGAAGCAAGAGAAACCGCTCGGAGAAAGAATCCAGAGAACGTAGCCCAAGAGTGTCCCACGAGTCGGATAAAGAGTTTCTATCGAGGCTGGATCTCTCGAAGCGCAACGATTCGAACTCGCCGAGCGAGCAGACCACGGTCAGTTCGAATCATTCGCGGGAGATGCAACAGCATCATCAGCAACAGTCTTCCCTGAACTTGCACAGTGACGTGGACGATGGTCCGTTGTCCACTCACGAGATGCAAGTGGCCAGGCATCCATCGGCCACCGACACGGACAGCGACGAGCCGAAGAAGCATTCCATCTTCGATATCGTCGACGACGAGCCTGCCTACATCAGCATGTACGACAAAGTGAAGGCGCGTTCGACGAAGAACATGCAGAAGCTGGAGGAGGAGAAACGTCAGGTACGCCTGAAGGACAAATTCTCGCAGCTGAAGCAGAGTCGAGCGAGACGGGAAGAGAAGAAGCAGAGTACATCGTGGGATGGCGACTCGGTGTCCAGTAAGGCTCTAACGGAGGATGAGGCAACCTCCGAATCCGACTCGGCCAGGGCGAAGTCTCTGTCCAGGAAGAGTTCCCGATCTCGAATTCATTCGGACACCAGCGAGGAGGAGGAATCGTTCAACAACAAGATTCGAAAGGTGGTGAAGACCGAGAGGTTCTTGGAGAGCGACGTGGATCTCGGCTTCGCGGATACCGAAGAGAAGCACAATCCTCTCGAGACGACGAACGTGGTCGGTAATAGTGTTCATCCGAAGGTGAAGGAGGAGCCACGCACGTCCGACGACGACGAGCGAATCTCCGTTCCTTTCCATGGAAATCATCCGGCGATCGTGGTGAACAACCACGACAGGGACTCGCGTAAGAAGTCGCACAAAAAGAAGCAGAAGAGACAGAAGAACTCGATGTCCAACGAGGATAGTTTGAAGACCGAATCCTCGGAGAACATCGAGCATAAGAACAAGTCTAACATCGTGACGAGCAACGCGGACTGTAGACCGAATCACACGTCGGAGACTATCAACGTCGCCACGACGCCGACGTCGGGGACCACGGTGTTGGAGAACACGGAGGAGAGGATACGCTCGGACAAGAAACAACGGAATAAGAAAGAGAAGAGGAGAGACAGGAATGGAGAAGAAAAGGCTAAGGCGAGGAGGAAGAGGTTGAATAGACAAGAAGCCAGAGACTCGCAACGGATGGAGGATATTTTTGGCCCGCTTTCGGACGAGGTTGACGATGGTCCATCGAACACGTTCTTCAATCGATTAGGTAACATCCCGTCGGAAAACAACACGTACGCCTCTGACAGTGACGGTGGTCATAGTCCAGTGTTGGACGTGGATCGAGTCAGACGAAAGGCGGAGAAGAAACAACGCCGCCATCAACCCGAGGACGAGAACAGCGTGGATTTGGCCGAAGCGGGACGGGAAATCGAGGCGAAGCTTCTCGGTCTGCCGAATTCTCCGAAATCAGCCGTGGCTTGCACGGAAAGCAACGACCACGACGTGTTCCGATTCACCGACGACAACGACAGCGTCGAACCATCCACTCCGTCCGCCATTCCGGAGAAGGTTAAAGAGAAGAAGAAGAAGAGGAAGAAGTCGAAGGAGGAGCGTAGTAGAAAGGATTACCATCATCACCACCACCATCACCACCATCATCACGAGAAGAGCGGCGAGTTACCCTATCTGGGTGCAGATCCTAGTCCTCCCAGAGCCAGCAGTCCATTAATTCCTAAGACGATGTCGCCAACCTTACCAACACCCAGAGATACTTTATTGAGCCCAATTCCCAAAGTGGCGACCAACGTGCCAACGGTACCTTCGATGACCCCTCCGGTCGTGACTGGCAACATTCAGACCTCGAAGCCGGACAAGAAGAAGGACAAGTTCATTCCTGGTTTCGGTATGGAGATCGACGAAACCATCCACGAGAACGCGGTTAAGAGTATCTCGGAACCGGAAGAACGCGAGAACAGCTGTCAGTCTCGGAGTGGAAGGGAGGAGCCGGAAGTCGCGGCCCCAACAACGCCGCCCGCTCAAACCGAAGACAAACCTCGAGTGGCGATTTCTCAGGAGGAAACCGAAGACGCTGTGGCCGCGTTGCTGGAAGAAACTTTCGGTGGATCTACGGAAGACTTCTCCTACGAGGGCGAAGAGGAAGAGGCGGAAGCGGATGACGCGGTGGGAGCATCAGCCGAGACGCCTCAAGAGGACGTCGAAGAAATGCAACAGGCTGTCGAGAGTCTGAACGCTTCTACCGGAGAAGGCGAGGCAGATATGAAACCAGACACTCCTCAGAGCGAACACGATCTGCAGATAGACACCGATACGGAGGAGGATCCAAATTACGAGACGTTCGATTTGACGCAGCCACCCAAAACCCCAGACATTCCATCGTTCTATAAATCTCCTACAAAGACCGTCAACACCATCGCGCCTGCCATAGCTTCGACGGAAAAGCCAGTGGAACCTCGCATAACGTCCATGACCACCAAACCGCAGAGTCCACCGACCACCGTGATCGCTCATTCTTGGAATCTGAACGAGAAGCCTCGAGAATCGGCCAAAGCGGCGCCATTGGAGAGCGTTGAGACGAACGTCAGCGCAGCTAGTCCGGAGAGGATAGCTGTGCAAGCCCATCGTGCTTCGACGTCTCCACCTCCGCAGTACAAACCGCCAGTTTTGGGCCTGAGCAGCGTGCCCATCACCAGTGAGACGCCTAGAATTGCCGCGGCTAGTCCCAGGCCACCCATCAGCGTGCAATCGTTGTATCAGAAACTTCCTGTATCGCCGCAATCTCAAATGGTACCGATGCGACAAGCTTCTCCTAGAATGCCAAACATCTCTGCAGTCTCCACTTCGGCCTCTTCGAATCAGACACCTCTACCTCCGTTAGTTCCATCCAGGATTCCACCTCTGGTACCGTCACAGTTATCGCCCAGAGTCTTACAGCCTCTGTCGCCCAACGGGCAGTGGTCACGAAACTCTGCTCTGAGTCCTCACGTGCCATCCGTTGGGAAACCATCACCACCATCGGCTAGAATCGCAGTGAGCGTCTCTGTGTCCACGCAGAGGTTGGAATCACCGGGTCAGATTTATTCCACAGCTGCTACTCAGCAACCGGTTATCCAGCACGCTCCGGGAATGAGGGCTTTAGCGCCCAGAGGAGGTTTGCCGCCGTTGACGTTAAATATTCCACACCGTCCTTACATGCCCGTTCCACCGTTGGCCCCGGGAGTCCAAGTGAAGAGCTCCAGGGACGCGACCTTAGGCGGCAAATCCGTGATCGAAACGTTGCTCCCTGTGAATCCGAACGAACCCTCGCAACGCCTGGAGGAGCCTAAACTCTCGCCAGCTGTTATTCCAGAGCCCACGAACAAAGCATCGACCTCTCCGAAAGTTCCTTCGCCAAATCAGCCGCCCACGTACATTCCCGAGACGGCGAAGATCGAAATCAATGCCAGTACGTCCAGTCCCGTGTTCGGCAAGCCGACTTCCATGGTGGACACCTGCCCCCTGTCGTCGAGATCTCAGAAACAAATTCAAGGGCCAATCACGACGGACAATAATCTACTCTCGCCGAGGCAGAAGCAGGAGATGTCGAGTCTTCAGCTTCTAACCACGCACGTACCGCGTTCCTCTACGCCAAGTCCTGTAATAGTGACCCATGGACAGCCTCATTTGGTTCACAAGTCTGTGGTGCACAGTATCGGCGCGACGGCTGTCTCTTCGGCCAACCAACCGTTGATCAAGACCGTTGTACCGATAGTGTCGCAGCAGATCGCGTCCACAGTAACCGTTTCCATGGCGGAAGAGAAATGCATCACGTCGTTGCCTTTGAGTAGCAGTCAGAGGCACTCGCCTGTCTCCCAGAGTCAGCCATCGAAGCTTCACATTCCGTTGGTCTCCACCGTGTCTCAGGCCATCGTAAGCAGACCTGTACCTTCCACCATCTCTTCCGTATCAGCGTCTCCGCCTAACGAACAGAGCACGGAGTGCCTAGAATCGCGCATACCAGCCGAGCAAGAATTAGAAGTGGACGCCGATGCACAGATGGCGCAAACAGCTCAGCCCATGCAACTAACGCCACCGATACAACCCACTCAGCCGATGGATATCATAAAGGACGAGCCTCTTCCGGAGGTAAAGCAGGAAGAGACGACGATGAAAGAGGAATTCCCTAAAACCGAGCCTGAACATCCTGTAAATCAAGCCAGCCCGAATGCAGACACCAAACCTAAAGTAGAGCAACAGCCGGATCCGATAAAATCAGAGAAACTGCCATGCGTACCGAAATCCGAGGTTCCTGATAATCTTCTCGTTCCTAAGATGGAAATCGAAGCAACCGTGAAAACGGAACCTGTTACAGAAATCAAGAAGGAGGAAATTGTGAAGGAGAACGAGGAGGCGGATATGGAAGAGGAACCAGCGGAGGATCCACTCAAAGAACCCAGCAGTGATCCTCTGGCCATAGATGTTTGTAAAGAAGATCCAGCAGATAGTAAAGAAGACAGCGATTACTGGTCCGCGAAGGAAGTTAACATTGAAAGCGTTATAAAGAAGGTGGACGCGCTCTGTGACGGGGAAGGTAACGACGACGGTGATGACGAGACTCAGCACAATCAGAACACCAGCAGCGAGACGCTGGAGCAGTCGAAGAACAACGAGTCCGACTGGTTCAGCGCCGACTCGACGGCTGAAGGCGACAATAAGAAGACCTTTACTTCGAACGACGATCAGGACGAAGGCGTGGAGACCTGTGAAAGCGAATCGACCAGGAGTCGTCGTGGCAGAACGAAAAACAGACGAGGGGTCGGCAGTCGTGGCGGAGTGACCACCAGACGAAGCAGCAGGAACACGAGCGTTGCGCATAGACGAGGAGGTAGAACGCCTAGAGGAAGCAAGCACCATGTTGAGAAGAATAAATTGCCGGCGGACGTTTACGAATTCCACGACGATAGCGAAGAAGACAATGCCGGACGTCCTCGATTGATTCTCACGATCAAGTCTCCGGTGCCGAATCTGACCGGTCCCAACGCGCAGCCAGCGACACCCATAGCTGCGGTGAAAGAGGTACCACCGGAAGAGTTCGTCTCTCCTGCCGCGAATACGAGGAAGTCTAGAAGATTAGCCGAGAAGGATGGCAGTCGAAACACCATCGACGATGTGATAGAATACGTGGTTCGTGGATCAGCAACGAAGGGAATGGTCGGTGGTAGCACGGGCAGCGGTCACGCTACCAGAAGGAGCACCAGGCATAACAATTCTCCTAAGAACGTACAGTCTACCGTACAACTGACCGAGCACAGGAAGTCACCCAGGGGCGCAAGGAAATCGGTGCGACGAACTTCCGAGAACAATGACGATAGCAGCGAGGAGAAGGTGAAAGAGGCGGTACCACCTACGCCGCAGGAGCTTCAGAACAAGGAGGAGACTGTTCCTCCTCGGGAAGAGGCGCCAAAGGTTGAGGAACCAAGCCAGGTTGTTGCTTCGTCACCGACACAGAAGCCAGTCTCCCACGAGCCGATGACGTTGATCGATCCAGTGACGGGAATGTTGATACCTATGAGGGAGTCCGAGGAAGGTCAATACATTCCAGTTTCCACGAGCTCCGGGCAAATGCAAGCCGTGCCCAGAGCCGCGTGTGACTCGCGAAGCGCAGTTGGACAAACCGCTGGAATGATCAACGCCAGTCCAAGCACGAGCGAGGTGCTGCGAGCGAAACCGCCTCAACCGGAAAATCTGACGATTTCCGAGGAGCCTAAAAAAGAACAAACCACCGAACCGGTTCAAACTCAACAGATTCAGCCGCAGACCAGTGTGATCACTAAACCGCAGTCTCCTGTAGTTCAAGTTACCACTGCCGTCAGCATGGTCCAGTCGACGACTACGTCCACCTCGGTCACCTCCGTGGCTGTGACGACGGCAGCGACACCGCAGATAACACCCACTTGCTCGACGCCGTCGAAACCTACGAGTTTGAAGGCTCACGTGTTGAACGCCAGTAAATTGGCGGCACCGGTGCAACAACAACCACCGCCACCTCCGCCACAGCCTGTCGTCATTACGAAACCAACGGTCCCAAGTGTGCCAAGTCAGTCCGTGGTGCAGAATATCGTAAAACCAACGCAGCCTGTCCAAGGACTTCATCTGCAGATACCTAGCAGTCGAGTGGTGTCTCCCAGTTTGAGCCCACGCGCGAAACAGCCACCTCAGATCAACGCAGCCAACGGAAAGGGTCAAGGTCAACCCATGTCACCTGTTCTGAACAACACCGGTGTCCCACCGAATCCTAAGCAACATCTGCTGCAAGCAGCCAAACAGCAGGCATCCACCATAGTGAATCTTCCTCAGAAATTGCCTATCAACGTTCATCCACCTACCGTGGCAACCACCCCCACTCCGAGAATTCATCAACCAGTTACTCAATCCACCGCCCTGAAGGGTATAAATGGTCAACCGCATCCACTGAATCCGAAGGCGCACCTGTTGCAAGCTGTAGTGCCACCGATGGTCGCCGGTGCTGTAGCCAGTCCACCTACTCAGCCTCATCTCCTGAATCCACAACCTGTTGGAGTCAGCTGTTCCAGGCCTCCAGCACCAAAACCACCGGTAAGAATGTTTCTTTTCTTTTTTTTTTAGATTTTGTTATGGTTGAGATTTCTATAGGGTTCGTGATGTAACTGATTTTTATTTTTATTTCAGGTGACAGTAACGATGGAACCACCAAAAGTGGAGGTGTCGATGTCCGGCTGCATCATGGTGCCAACTGCGAGTCCTCAGGCACGAGGAGTACCCATAACAACCTATGAAGGACCATTGGTAAGTATTTTAAATTTTCAAATATGTGTGTGATTATTATTTTTAAATTAAAAATATCAAAGTCAAGTTGATTAATATTCATTCGTTCTCCACTCTCACCCGAAGTTCAAGTTTAATTTAATTCGTCCTTTAGCTGTAGATTAGCTAGTTTAATAAACCAATCTGTGTGTTTAACTACATAAAATGTGTATCGTCTAAAAAGTGTCTCGACGAACTAACTTTGCTTGGTTTTGGCTAGCATGGGAGTGCGGGTGCTGCTCCGTCACCAGGGGGCCAGTACGGACTTGTCCCCCCGCATCGATCCCAGAGTCCTCCATTGCCCCCACCTGCCCATCATCATGCTAATGCTTCTCAGGTACTTACTATGCTAACTATAATCTACCAAATGCAGCGAAAATTGCAAGTTACGAATAAAACGAATAAAACAAAATTCAAACGATTTAATTGAAAATAATTTTTAATTTAGGGCGACGTTGTGAACCATTATGGAGGGCTGGCGAGGGGCGCAGAACTGCCACCCCATTACATGCATCCACAAGTTCTCCAGTATCAGTATTTGCGTGCACAGCAAGAAGCCTTAACAGCTCCGCGCATAGCGTACCACATTCCAGGAACTCGATCTCCTCATCTACCGTTAGATCCAAAACTTGAAACTGGCATAGAGGATAGCCACAGTCCACCGTTAGAACTGAGACGGGGCACAAGAACGCCTCAGGACCGCACCACCGACAGCCCCCAAGTAGCTCAAGTTTACGTATTGCACGGTGGTACCAGATTGCCACCCCCACCGCCGCAGTACAACGCGGGAAGCAATCCATCGTTAACGGGTGCACCAGCAGCAGCCAGGGGTGGATTTTACGAACCTCCACCGGCTCACGTGCGTTCTCAATATCCGATCGCTGCCAGCGAAGCACCTAGCGACAGAGCCATCACCCCAGACAGACCCAGAAAACACCAAGTGGTCACTCCACCTCACGCTTCCCAAGTACCACCGCAAGCAGACTCGTTTCAGATGTTACTGCAACGTTATCCAGTCATGTGGCAAGGACTGTTGGCCCTGAAGAACGACCAAGCTGCTGTACAAATGCATTTCGTTTTCGGTAATCCAAACGTAGCCAGGGACAGTCTACCTTGCAACAGCGATGGCTCCACTCCACCTTTGAGAATCGCTCAGAGAATGAGACTGGAACAGACTCAGGTCGAGGGCGTGGCGAGGAAGATGCAGGTTTGTCTTATAAAATTGCAGAAAAATTCATAGCAAGTATACATGTAATATTAAATGTTATTTAATTGTGTTCAATTGTTTCTGTTGCAGATGGATAACGAACACTGTATGCTTCTCGCTCTTCCTTGTGGCCGAGACGAGGTAGACGTGTTACAACAGAGTAAGAACCTTCAGACCGGATTTATAATGTACTTGCAACAGAAACAAGCTGCTGGAATTGTCAACATTGCTGCACCAGGATCGCAACAGGTGAGTCCAAGAGATCTCCTCTTCTGTTATTTTGTAATTAAGAGTCTTGGAGTCTTAATAAATGAAACGTAAATTGTACGAATGTATAATAAGGGATTTTATTAATTTTCTTTTCAGCCTGCATACGTAGTCCACATCTTCCCGTCGTGCGATTTCGCGAACGAGAGTTTGGCAAGGATCGCACCAGACCTGTTACACCGTGTCGCGAAGATCGCCCATTTGCTCATCGTAATTGCCACGGTTTGAGGCCAACCAGTGGTCTGCTGGATTATAATCTACCTATACTTCTCGCCTTCAAGCACTTGTAGGACGCTTCGCACGTGGCATGAAGCCTGGAGTGTCCCAACGACAAAGTGCAGCATCGTACAACAAAAGAGGAGAGTATTCTGGAGGGGAATGATCTCTCCCCCAGAGATATATTAGTGACAATCAAACGGATCCCGGCGCTAATCGTGCCGATTTCTAGATCGTAAGGCCTAAAAAGACGAGGTACGGGGTTGTGTTACGTCGAAAAGGGAGGCTAGCCACGGTCAATGCTCGCAAAACATCACCGGGCATGCCTTTCTTCCCGAAATCATTTGGCGAGGGCGAGATCATTCGAAGAGTAAACCCCCAATGACTCGCAGTACGCCGATACCGCTGACGACGTTTGTGAGATCGACCGACGTCACTCTTGGTCTTTCTGACAAGCGAGTCAGGCACAACCCCAGCCCTTAGCCGAAGACCTTCGATTCGAACCACGCGATTTCTTCACGAGAACGAGAGAAAGAAAACTATAAAGGATACGAAACGAAACCGCATTTCGTAAAACTCTTTAAAAAAACACGTTCGTCCCTCCTCTAGGAAAACAGTAAAACATAATTATTATCTACCGTTGCTCTAGATGGACAGTCGATTTCGTAAAGTAAGAAGAGAATTAGATGAAAAATAAATAAAACCAGAGGAATAATGAAGATGGTAAATAAAAGCTAACGTACCCCTACCACTATACACGAGCTATTTTAAGTAAGGCTTAGGTATTAATGATACTTGTATAAATTATAAGCGAGCCAGCAAGGGCATAACTACTGTGATTTTAATTATTTAACGATATATATCTCTGCGTAAAGACGATGATAAAAAACAAAAAAGTGAAAACATATAAAACGATGACCGAGTCTGGGTCCGCGCGGTATGTGATGTGTTTTTTGTATAATACTGCTCTATATAAATACCTATGTATTATATTAATTGTAACAATAGTTGCTGCCGCCGCTGTTGCTGCTGCCGCTCGTGTCGAACTAGAAAGTAACGTTAGGATCCTAGACCTCTAGCGAAAACGAAAAAAAAAAAAATGAAGAAGAAGAAGAAGAAGCAAGTAAGAAGTAACAAAGGAGCGAAAGGACTACCGAAAATAATAGTGTTTATCTCTAGTGTAATATAATTTCCCGCAGCAGGATGTAACATATTATTATCGTGATTATCATCTTAGCACTATGTACATTATAAAAGAAGATTTTTAATATTCTTATTTTCGATTCTTTATTATTATTATTACTGTCATCATCGTCATTAGTATGGCTATCATTAATTATTATAATTATCATTATTATTATCATTATTATTATTACGATTATTGTCATCATTATTATGTTATTATTATTATTATGAATTAATTAATTATTACTACCACTACTGCTATTACTACTATAACTACTATACTATTATCACCACTACTACTACTATTATTATTACCACTACTCTACTACTACTATTATCGCTGCTATCAATTATTATTAACGTTACTACATCAGGCTAGTTAGAAACGTACCGATCCGCACATTGAAACGAAAAGGAAAAAGAATGATAAGGATGGGGCTTAAAAAAGAAAAAAAGAAAAGCATGTCGTACTGGATTAACAGAGTACAGTATGACCGATCTCATTGACCATTGACGTCGCCCCGTTTCTGGTGAACACTTCCATCCCTCCCTCATCCTCACCGACCCCCCGAATTTCTCTGATCCCCTTCGTCGCGTTCCGCGTGATAATGTCATAGACTCTAGCAATCGTTATCGAGGATAATGCGCTTACGTGTATAGACCAGAAAAATTATATTATATCACACGAAGCCGTGGAAGAAAAAAAAAAACATATTAAGTAATATAAAAGGAAAAACTTACCTATTTGCGATATTATCGATGCTGCGCGTAGGGCGCTCGCCTCTAGAGGATAATCCCGTATGTAAAAGTATAATTAGGGATCGTCGAAACACGGTAAATTTATTATTTCTCAAGGTAATTCAATCGATCCTAAAGAATCGTTCTTATTTCATTTTTAATTTCTACTTGATCGAAGTTTTTCTTTTTATTTTTCAGTGATCCAACGTAACGATATGTATACGTGTACTTTGATATTTTTTTGACGTTTATTATTATTATCCATTTCTTGTATTTATAAGACGAGGAACAATGCAAGGTGTATACGTGTCGTTCAAAGACGATGCCTCTCGTGTTCTGACGATTCCTAAGAGAGAATTAAAAAAAAAAAATGCGAATTTAATTTAAGGCAGCGCGGATACTCGTGGAGCGTGTGCATGTACAGTGTAAAAGATGCGTTGTGCATATGTACAGTGTAGAAGTATAAGTGAGCGAGAGAGACGATGAATTTAAAAGAAAAAAAGCATATTATATTACAGCTACGGTTAAGTATAATAGGACGCGAACAAGACGCTTACGTCGCGGTGGATTTTTATTTCCTTCTTATTGGAAACAATAATGTATTCTTATTATTCCCTTTCGTCTCTCTATCCATTTCTGTTTCTTCTTTTCTCCACTCGATCCTCTGTGTCTTTATTTTTCTTTTCGGGACCGACGTTATTTTTTTTTTATATATATATATATGTATATTGTATAGAGTAAATGGAATCACCGCGACGTCCGTGTCCTGCATCGTGTTTTATCTATCTTGTAAAATATCTGTGAATATTATGATTTAGTTTCTTCCTATTATAGGCTACTGGTATACAAAAAATGTTTATGTTACTACTTACTTAAGATGATGAAGAAGAAATGTACAGATATCACCATTTTTGTTTTGTGTTTTACTGTAGTTATTGATAATTATATGGATATTAACGATAATAATAACTATGATTAAAAAACTTAAGCACGGCTCGACGCGTCATTTTTAAAACCCGTTATTAGAAGAAGGAAGAAGATGTGAGAGATTCTTTCATTTGAACGCGAAACATTGTAGCAGATACTTCTAACTATCTTTGTACAAAATTTGCTCGTGTTTTTCGTTGGATTTAAAATGGGAAAACACGTCTTCAGTGGCTGAATTCGTTATTTAGATAGAAGCTGGTCTTCATCATGGTATAAAAGGTAAAAATAATATAACACCTAATATAATACGATACGTAATTTATTTCCATCTTTTGTTACATATTATTAATATACTATCTACTTATTCTGTATACAATCTCCACTTTTGTCACTTATAAAATTTGTAAAAATATCTGTTGAGAATACGAACACGAATCATCTTTCTTTCTTAATAAAACGATTAAATTTACCATATTCAATACGTATTTGCGATAATTAAATTTTTGTCGTTCAAAATATCTGATTTTACAAATTGAATTTCTATCTCTTTTGAAAGAGAAACGCTGTGAATTAAAAAAAAGAGCATCGTTTATTAATAAGGTTGGTAAATATCATAGGTAAATATCATTACATCCCTTACATTTCTGCATCCTTTACATCATTGCATCCCTTACATGTCTGCATCCTTTATATCATTGCATCCCTTACATTTCTGCATTCTTTACATCATTGCATCCCTTACATTCCTGCATCCTTTACATCACTGTAACCCTTATATTCCTGTATCCTTTACATCTCAACGTCCTTTACATCCCTGCATCCCCTACATTTCTGCATCCTTTACATCATTGCATCCCTTACATCACTGCAACCCTTATACTCCTGTATCCTTTAAATCTCAACGTCCTTTACATCCCTGCATCCTTTACATCATTGCATCCCTTATATTCCTGCATCCCTTACATCACTGCAACCCTTATACTCCTGTATCCTTTACATCTCAACGTCCTTTACATCCCTGCATCCCCTACATTTCTGCATCCTTTACATCATTGCATCCCTTATATCCATGTATCCTTTAGATCCCTACACCGGAAACCACAACATTGAGCTAAATTTTTGCGAAATTTAGTTCCTTTTTTTGCCACCAGAGGGCGCTGGTTCGACGTCGAGATTTTAGTTCACATTTTTGCCGCTAGAGGGCCAAAATTTCTGCTTGATTTAGTTCTTTTTTCTAAAACCAGATGGCGCTGATTCGAGGTCGAGATTTTAGTTCACATTTTTGCCGCCAGAGGGCCAAAAATCATGCAAGGTTTAGTTCCTTTTTCTAAAACCAGATGGCGCTGATTCGAGGTCGAGATTTTAGTTCACATTTTTGCCGCCAGAGGGCCAAAAATCATGCAAGGTTTAGTTCCTTTTTCTAAAACCAGATGGCGCTGATTCGAGGTCGAGATTTTAGTTCGCATTTTTGCCGCTAGAGGGCTAAAATTTGAAAATTCAAAAATTCAAAAATTCAAAAATTACTTACCTTTACTTACCTTTACTTACCTTTACTGGAACCAGTTCTTGTAATATACTTATTATAAGGGTTGCAGGGACATAAGGGATGTAAGGGATGCAGAGATGTAAAGGATGGAGGGATGTAAAGAATTAAGGGATGTAAAAGATACGGGGATGTAAGGAAGGCAGTTATGTGAGGGATGCAGTGCTATAAGGGTAGCAGGGACATAAAGGATGTAAGGGATGCAGAGATGTAAAGGATGGAGGGATGTGAAGAATTAAGGGATGTAAAAGATACGAAGATGTAAGGAAGACAGTGATGTGAGGGATGCAGTGCTATAAGGATAAGCTCATAAAAAGAATGAAGAAATAAATATCTGCCTAGGGAGGGCTTGGTCCATAGAGAGGAGTAGCATAAAAAATAGTTGGGGAGCGTGGGTCTTGGCCCATAAAGGAGGATAAAATAATTAATAATTAAAAGGGATGGGTCTTGGCCTATAAAGAGGGAAAAAATAATATAATTTCAGATGTCTTTACGACACTTGGGACAAGATAAATGAGGTAAATTAAATAAACTCCGGAAAGAAATTCGAGGATGATTTTTATACTGGTTGTGCCCTCTACGTACGAGCCTGATTTCATCCTGGGGTGTCAGGGACCCCGAAGCACTGGTGACGCTCAGTGCATACCGACCTGATTCCATTCTGGGGTGTCTGGGACCCCGAAACACCGTTGATACTGTATATCGTCCTGCGGTGTCTGGGACCCCGAAGCACCGTTGATACTCCCTGTATATCGTCCTGGGGTGTCAGGGACCCCGAAGCACCAGTGACATACTTTATATACCTACATTACGGCATCCGGGGTGTCAGGGACCCCGGAGCATCGCTGGCGCTGCCTGCATAACAATATATCATCTTGGGGTATTAGGGACCCCGAAGCACCAGTGAATCTGTCTGTATACCGAGATGATATCATCTTGGGGTGTTAGGGACCCCGAACCACCAGCGACATTCTTTGCATACCGACAAGATGGCATCCGGGGTTTCAGAGACCCCGGCGCACAGATGACACTCTTTGCTTACCTACATTGCGGCATTCGGGGTGTCTGAGACCCCGAGGTACCGGTGACTGATATTATGCAATCCGGGGTATCAAGGACCCCGAAACAACTAGCGAAATATAAGAACGAAAAACGAACAAATCGTGAAACTCACTTGTTCGGAATAGTGATGGGTTTGACCGGATCTAGCGAAATATAAGAACGAAAAAGGAACAAATAGTGAAACTCACTTGTTCGGAATAGTGATGGGTTTGACCGGATCTAGCGAAATATAAGAACGAAAAACGAACAAATCAAGAAACTCACTTGTTCAGAATAGTGATGGGTTTGACCGGATCTAGCGAAATATAAGAACGAAAAACGAACAAATCGTGAAACTCACTTGTTCGGAATAGTGATGGGTTTGACCGAATCTAGCGAAATATAAGAACGAAAAACGAACAAATCCTGAAACTTACTTGTTCTAAATAGTGATGGGTTTGATCGGATTTAGCGAAATATAAGACATAGATAAACAAACAAATTAGGAATTAGTGAATGCAGGATAGCGATGGATTTGATCGGAAATAGAGAAATATAAGACTTAAAAACCAAACAAATGGCGAAATAGTACAATACTACCATTAATTTTTATATTTCACAATTGTTTATTAATAAAATTATTGTTATATCTATTTAACTTGTTTATTTCTTTACATTTTACTCGCTCCTTTACATCCCCCTTTTAGTCGCCTCTTACGACAGGCAGGGGATACCGTGGCCGTATTCTAAGCCCCCCCGAGCCACAGGGGGTGATACCGACCTGATATCCTGATGGGTTATCAGGAACCCCACAGCAGTGGTGGTGCTGTATTCATACCGATCTGATTACATCCTGGGGTGTCTGGGACCCCGAAGCACTATTGGCGCTCTGTACATACCGACCTGATTCCATCTGGGTTGTCTGGGACCCCGCTGCGCGAATGGCGCTGTCTACATACCGGGTTCGTTTCGTCCTGGGGTGTCTGGGACCCCGAAGCACTATCGGCGCTCTGTACATACTGACCTGATTCCATCCGGGGTGTCTGGGACCCCGTTGCGCCGATGACGCTGCCGACTTTAATTCAACTTGGGGTGTCTAGGACCCCTTAAAACATGCCCCTTCGAAATAAAGAGATGTCCCTGAATAAAACGTTTAAAAATGTCTACTGGTGGCTTACATGACAGTAGTTTTGTAACATATATTTACGAATTTGTCATATATACGTAAAGGTTTAACCGGTTTCAATGGGATGTTTTTTTAATGCGTCTACATTTTTGTCAAACTTGTACTAATATTTTATAACTGTGTATTACAAGTCTGAAGAGTATATAAATGCCAGATTGATCTTAGGTTAAGTGATTCTGTGGAGATTGGACTGTAAGACGTTTTGTTTATTTTTATAAATATTTACCATATTTGTTACTTTATACAGCTACATAAAAAGGTTCTAAGTAGATAAAGTCGTGTGTTGTTAATAAAACTACTATTCGTAAGTGACTTAAAGATTCTACGATGTCGTTATCTCGTATCAGTAATTCTACCGATTTATTGACGGCTTTATCTCGCGTTTTACCAGCAGGTATGAAATTTACAACATATTTTTAAATAGAAATTTATATTTATTATTTACTGAAATTTATCAATTATCCCAATAATATTGTTTATTTGTCAAATTCACTGCTTTTTAAATAAAACAGTACAACGGAGGTTACATATGCACATAAATGACTTTAAATTTGGAGGACATGTTACTATTTATGACTGTTTTAGAAATAAACGCAAGAAAAAATGACAATTTTCGAATGACTCTTCAGTTCTTATATAACCTTACCAAGAATGACCAAATATAAAATTAATTTATAAGTGACGTAAACGAACGACAGAATTTTCTCGACTTGTATATTTAATTGTCTGAATATGTTTCAATTATACATTATTTTTTTCAGCGAATGCATTTGGCGAAATGCAATGCACACGATATACGACGATACGTCACACGAAGGCCCTTCATGTAACAAGTGTCCGTCGTTACCCTAACCCTCCTACATTACCGCTTCCTACAAATGTTTCTGAAATATTTGCCAATGAAACTGGTCGTTTCACTCCCGAAAGAGCACGAGACATTTCTATACCAGTGTTGCTTTACTATAAAAGTGACTGTAAATCATTTATTTCGGCGCAATCATCAAAATTGGCAGAGCCTTCAAACAGCTCTGAAGTTTGTAAAGACACTCATGTAGATTCGTACGATTGCTTTGGCGCGGTCAGTTTAAATGGTACGATGCAAAGTAATGTTCCAAAACCATATTCTTCTAATGGAAAATCAACCCATTTAAATATGCCTGGCGGACAATGGGCCAGAGACGAGAAATATATTGCCGAGGATATGCAGAAATCACATTATCGAACCGTTAATTTGCCACAATTGAAACTGGATAAACGCGGTTAGTAAAGTGCTCAATGAAACTCAAAACTCCGTCCTACGCTGTCGAATTTAAAATAGAATTAATCTTGCACATGGTGAGGGGATGCAGCAATTAAAAGAAAAAAAAAATAAATGCACTTTATTCTATATACAAATTGTACCTTGCCGGTAAATTCTTTTTTACCGAAATTTTCAGTAATATATAAAATATAACCAGCAAGGTAAATAGTCTAGAAATTGCAATCTGTCACTCAGGTCTGGCAAGTTATGTCTCAACGAATGTTCTTTTACAAAGAATGTATCCAGAAAAATATATATTCAGTATGGGATATTCGACGAATGCATCGCAACAAGTAACTGATACACAAGATACCGATAAAAAACCAAAATATATAATTTTATCCAGGAAACAAAAACTTCAAAGAGTGATCAAGGATTATGGAGCTACCGTTGTTGTGTTTCATGTAGTAATATCTATAATATCCCTTGGCGCTTGTTATGCAGCTGTAGTTGGGTTAGTTTTACAAAATTGTTATTCTAACTATTTGAATAATTTCTTATATTTATCTTAAATATATTGATTTCAGCGGGATAGATTTAGCGCCTCTCGTTAAATTCGTAATACTTGATAACAGTCAAGTAGAACAAATTCTTACTAACTCGTCATCCTTCCTGTTGGCGTATGCTATTCATAAGTTGTTGGCGCCTATGCGTATTGGCATAACATGCGGTGTTACCCCAATACTTGTACAATATTTACGAAGAATCAAGATTCTTAAACCTCCAAAAGTGACGAAGACAAATTAAAATGTTGAGTGATCGATTACAATTGTTATAGCAATACATATGTGTACCTTGTAATTTATAATTGTTTTAATTTGACTAAATAAACATATTTGTGTATATATATATATTTTGGTTTATTATTATAAAGAATATAATAGTTATAATTACTTTACACAACGTCACGTATATTTTATATATATTTTTTGCGCATCTACTACAATGTAAGTACGGCTGTTTCAATTATAGTAGTTTTGACTCTCTTTACTTTTGCTGTTTGCCTTCTTATTAGTTGCCGTAAATACATGACATACACAAAAGCTCGACAGTTTCAATGGACGAATTTAATTATATTGGAACAACGACCGCACTCGGTTGAGAAGTAATTACCGAGTTTATTTTCGAATTCAAGTGACCCATATTAATCGAGTTATCCATTTAATTTGATTACGCATAGGAAACATACGAAAATGCCATTTAATTGGCGGACATGTATATGTACATAACTTTTTTAAAAAATATATTATAGTACATAGTAAAATTAATAGATGTAGGTATATACAATTTAGTTTACCTAGGGCAGTAATATGTCTTACAATTTAATTTTACATCTTTCGAAGATACGTTTGCCTTCAATTGTATCCTGCAAAGGCTAGATTCAAAAAGTTTATTTTAAAAAAAAAGAAGAAAAACATGGGAAGATTTCTAGTGGATTGAAAAGAAAAAAGATTTTCAGCGTTCTTAAAGGATTACATAATTGAATATCATAAAATATTTCTAAAATTGTTTTGTAAAAAATATAAAAATTGTTCGCGAGATTAGTAAGCGTAATTGTTCTTCATTTATCAAACCCAAAAGTGAAACAGGTTTGAAACTACGATCAAACATACAAATAGTACTCACTGTTTTGTGCATGGCAGGATAGTACACTTATAAACACTGAACACATCGTCTGCAAACAGTTTGAGCATTTATAACTTAAATGATAAGATATTAGTTATGGATTCTGTTAATGTATAAATGAAAAGGTTTTTAATACTTAAAAGTATGATTTAAACATCGTCTAATAATACTTGCAAACTAATGCGACGATTAGTTCTCTAACATTTTATACAGTCCTTATGCAACTTTTATAAAAATACAACAAAAAGAATTCACAAGTAGCTTAAACAAACATACAATCGGTAAAAAAATATTTTGGCACAGTACATTTTATATAATCCTCATTGCTCTTTACAATGCACTGGTAATATATAAAAATTACATTGAAATACGCGTCTCTGTATTCAGATCTTAGAATAAATGAAATCTAGATATATTTTTGTTTCATATAGATTGGACATTTTAATTACCAGCAATAAAATACGTACTTTCCTTGTCAATTTAATTACTTTTTATTTGAGCACGCGATTAGTTAATGATTAGATATAGTGATTAAAAAAGGCTAATCTCTTTTTATGTATAGAATTAAGTCTTTAAACATACGCATTATCGCGTTGTCCTTGTATGCGATTGAAAAAGGCAGATCTTTTACTTTGATAGAATTAAAAGTCTTTAAACATACGCTTCGGCGCGTCGTCCTTGTATATGATGAAAGAACTGCCGCCAACTGGTTAACGTTTTACTTGACCATACCCAAAAGCTGCTTGTGATACCAACAATCATAGCCATTAAATATTTTATCATGAATACCTCGAACTCTGGTCTCCTACCGACATCGCGGGTACGCTCGCCAACGGGACACGGCATGGAATACAAAGATTGTGGTCCCGGCCTCGAGCACATCTCCATATTCCAGGTCAACATCCATTGATCAAAATATGCTTGCTCGTAAAATAAACAAGCAATGACAATTAATGCAGGAACTATATATAGTACAGAAAATATGCCGATACGAATCATTAATTTCTCTAGTTTGTCAGTCTTTGTACCATCGTGTTTCATAACTGTACGTATCCGGAAGAGGGAAACAAAGCCGGCTAATAAAAAGGCAGTTCCAAGGATAAGATAGACGCATAATGGTGCCAGAACGAATCCACGTAGAGCTTCGACGTTCCAAAGTCCGACGTAGCAAACACCGGACAGTATATCACCTGTGGAAAATGAAAAATGTATTAGTTAAATAAATTACAACGAACAATATCTTTGTCTCTGGATTGTTTACCTTCTACCTTTCCCATTGCGAGAATCGTAACCGTTTTTATTGCCGGTGCAGCCCAAGCTGCTAAATGAAAATATTGCGAGTTGGCTTCGATTGCTTCGTGGCCCCATTTTAGTCCAGCTGCCAGGAACCATGTCAGGGTTAAGATCACCCACCATATACTGGATGCCATTCCAAAGAAGTAAAGTACCATGAACAGTACTGTGCACAGTTCATACTTGGTGCCCTGAGTTATAGTTGATGCCATTTGAATTCTCATATCTAAAGGAGGTGGGAACGGTTCTCTGCACGCGATAGAATTACCAGCAGCCCAACCGATCACATAGGCTAATGCTACCATCAGGTAGCACACAGACAAAAAGATGATTGGTCTCTCTGGATACCTAGATGTTAAACAATAATATCTTTGTTAAACTATAAATTAAAGGCAATGTATATATGTGACCTTGTTAGTGAACATCAATGATAATTAAAATATGCGTATCTGCATATAATACAAAATTTCTAATCCTCCCACTTTATGTTAATGAGGTTACTACATGCATTAATATGAATACAATAAACTTTTTTTTTACCTGAATCTATCAGTGTCAATGAGAAACGTCAGGAAGGTAAAGAAACAAGAAGCTGCACAAACAGATGCCCATGTACCGACCCAAACCCTCGAAAATCGTCGTTCTCGTTCGGTGAAAAACATTCCATCGCAAGGTGCGCCGCAATCAGGCTCGACTTTATCGCCGACCTTCAACGAATAGCCGAGTTTTTGAGGAACCTTGAACTGCATAGGGCAAACGAAACCAAAGTCCCTTGCGCCGAGCGTGAAACCGCTGCCATAAGGTTTTGGGCCTCCTGTCCAGGATGGTTGAAATTCGGCTACCGGCATACGTGGTGGAGGGTAAACCGGCGGCGATGGTTCCGGTGGTGTGGTCTCGTTATGACCGACGCAAAGTTCCGGTCCACCGTTTTCGGGTAGCTTCGAACAATCGAGATTTTCCGGCCAAGCAAAGCCGAAACTATTCATCAAACGTTCGCATCCTGCACGAGCACTTTCGCATAACGATCTGCACGGGGGTATCGCTCTGTCGATGATGGTGCATACAGGCGCGTAAACTGTGCATAGGAAGAAACGAAGGTCGGGGCTGCATTTCATCTTGACCAGGGGCGCGAACTGATGCACCTCTTGGCCGGCGTCCTCTTGCTTTTGATGGTTCATCAGGTTCGGCATGATCGTCTCGTTGTACGGTATATTCATACACAAATTGATGGTGATCGGTTCGCATCTTCCGTGATGGGCCAAGGGATCTTTCGCGTGAAGAGCACTGACACCGAGCACGGCTACCAAAAGAGCATAAACCGTCGCGTAACACGGAATCATATCTGCGTCTTCTTGCGGCGACCGCCACTTTTAAGATTAATCGTCACGCGAAGCAACCTTCTAAAACACCGGAACGCACCACGCTTACGGACATCACCAATAAATCGTGCTGAACATAATAATACTGAACGGAAGGAGCGGGGAAACGGGTATACCTAACGACGATGATGGACGCGACCGTAATACTGTAAACAGAACACGGTGAATGTATTTTCCTAGTGGGAGAACCCTGAAGAGAACTAGATTCACGCTACCGCTACCGCCACCTACAATGATGCGTGAAAATCTCGTCGGTGTTTTATGGAAGAAGCATTTGCCTTTAGCTTTGGGAGAATTCTAGCAGAAATTAAAGAGAGCCTAAAAAAGAAAAGAGACAAACTTGTTATCCTTGCATGTAAAAAGAACGTGGACAAATAAAGCAAGCGGGACCTCTCCTTTAATTTTACTAAGGGACGCTTAAGTGTCACGCGATCATGGGTACACGATTTGATGACATAAAATTATCGCAACATATCGCTTAAAGTTTATTAAAAATGACCATATAAACCTTTCGTGAATATTTTTAATACAAACTAACTGATTTTCTAGGGAATTGTAATACTGTACAGTAAAACGGGTTGTAAAATGACGAGACGCGATAACGATCGGTTCATTTTGATTTTATTTCTTTCCCGACATATAATGCACAATACGTTCGATTTCGTTAGTTTGTAATGTTTATTCATCGCAGATGATTAGCGTGATCGTAAGTACTATGGTTTTTGTTGTAGTAGTTTCCGCATTTAATCATATAGTACATACGTGCTCGTGAATTTCGTGCACCTTTAGACGGGGTCGCATTATTCGGGCGGTCATCGTCACCGCGTATTACAATGATAGTCGTTGGATTGATCCAAATCGCCCGAAATACGATTCGCAAACGGCCTCGTTATCGTAAACAAATAAATAATTTCTCTCCTTGGAATACTCTCAACTTGAATCGCCCTAACAGACGTAGGAGGTCAGCCTTACGATCTTACGATTAGTAACACTTAAGATTCAATACGGAAGATTGAAAATAATGTCGAGCAAGCCACTGTTTCGTCTTCCTGTTTCTCTCTGTAATTTCAACGGTATCGATACTCTTTTTGACCGTCATCGAACGAACAAAGCCTGTTATTAAAGAAAATGCGATCCGACAGGATTCATCGAATGAACTGTGGTTGCTACCAATCTTTCAGATTGAAACAACCAGTTCTTTTTGGCTTTTGTATCGTATGAAAAAGAAAGAGGTCACTTCATTTATCACTTATACTCTGCTAAAGGGAACTAATAAATTAATGTATATTAATATACGTCTACAGCGCGTTACGCATAAAACAAGTTAATAACGAGGAAGACTGATAATGGAAGGTTCGTAATATTTTATAGTATAGTAAAACCAGACAAGATAAGATGAATTTCTCAAATGGATCGTATACGTTCATTGGACCTATTGTTATTCTTCTTTTTGTAAGAATGATTTGAGGATTTTAAAACAGTTATCCTTGGCACAAAGCACGAAGATTATAGTGAAAATCATTTCACTTCGTTTATTTAATGAGACGTGTTAAGTATTTTTTTAATCATAGCACGACCCGCGTGCTTATTTTCTATCTTAAAACGTCCCAAGACTGTAAAATCACTGTTTATTATTGCATTCTAAAACCCTTAACTTTTGTTTCCTTCGATACCCGTATTTTATCTAAATAATTTTGAAATATATAAAAAGTGATAATGAACGAAAAGACCAGTTATCGGTGTCAGGTAAATCATAAGCAACTGCTGGATCCATCATGATATACATGATATAATTACAACGTTTAAGCGCTAAGAAGAACTTCTGGAAGAACTACTATTCTGGAATGTAAGAGGAAGACGAAAAGTGGCTGATGTTTTTGCCTCGACAAAAGTCGATTAACATCCTCTGCCCCTACACAATTACGTCGTGACGTGCATTCGTGTCTCATTATGTACACGTAGGATTAAAAATCTAGTATACGGGCAGAGGTTTTATCTCTTTCATGTATGCGCCTGTACATAATTACGTGCAAAATCCGTCGCGCAATGTCAGAAGAGAGTTGCCTCTTTCTGGTTAGCTCTTTGGAGGTTAGGTTGTACACGTGTAGTGTACTACGTTGAACTGTCGCGAATTATGTTTATATATACATATATATATATATATTTTTGTCGATTTCATTATCGGTTAAAAAATTACAGATAAAATACGACTACTGGAACAGGAACAATTGATTAGATTCGAAGTTCTAATTTTCGCGCCACCGTGTCTTCGACCGTGTGAACCCCTCCAAAGAGTTAAGCCACTAACCCGCTCGTTTGGAAAAAAAATAATTGATGCAATCGCAGTGGTAATAAAAAGGCGTGTATAATTTAATACACCTTTCTTGATTAGCACCGAACTTAACGACTAGTCAGTTTACGTACGCGTTCATAACCACGCACGATTCTACATTTTTAGTTTCATTTATTTTATTTTTTTCACTTTTGAAATTGTAATATCGTGTGTTTAAAATCTCGAGTCGAATGCAATTCATTCTTCTGCCGTTGCGCTTTAACGACACGCAACAATTAAATAGAGATTAAAATACTTTCGAGACATTCGAAAAAATGGACAGACTTTCTTGGAATATTCAGCAAGATTAATACATATAATGCTCTCGCGCAAATAAACGCCAGCTCGCATTATATATTAGATTTATTCGTACCTTCGCGTACGTGTAGATATATTTTTTTTTTTTATCTATTTATCGATCTATCTATCGTCCCTCTAGCGACACTAATTAGTGTCCAACTAACTTGTTCGAATGCGTCAGGTGTGCGTGTACCGTGATCTCGTATAATGCGAAAATAAATAATAATTTTCTACGAATATCTGTTTTAAACTCACACGGTTCGGAATGTTCTTCGCGGATGAATAATTCTCGAATGGAACAACGAAGTTAAATAATTTTCAAATTCACCAGAGAATACAAGGACCAACAACTGTGAGGTCATTGAAGGCCGTTTTAGATCCCTTTAATGTGCCTGTAAGGAACTTGTTATGCGGTCTTTGTACTCGTCTATAGAGACCATATCACACCATCAAAAACGTACCATTGAAAGAAATAAATGCGATCTTCGTATCTAGAAACTACCGCCACCTACAAAGGAATTCTTTTCATTCTACACGACCCTACCATACCGTCCCGCTAACAATAAAATATGGCGATGGTAGTTGCTGGATCACCCCACATATTGCTTCTCCGATAATTTTAAATGCCATTTAAGGGGTTCGGTCACTTTCAAAATGAAAAAAAAAAAGATGTTACGAACAGTTTCATGAACGCCATCCACGCAAGACGCATCAATACCCGTATACCGATATAATTTCTATGAAATTCACGCGTGTCGCGACGTTCACGTTCCGTTCCTGTTAAAGAACAATTGCACGAATAAAACGGCTGTTCAGGCAACACGCGACACCTGTGCACAACGAATGTAACAAAAGAGAGAACGAACAAAATCGAAGAAAAATTAGTTAGTACGGTTGCACTTTTGAGCAAACGATCGCTCTTATCGCGTATCGTAGTAAACGTACCGCATTTTGTATACGCAACAAGATATCGTACGCCTGGGAAGATATATATTTGGCACTGGATTCTCTTCGAGAGAGCCTCTCAGGTTCGAATCGTAATTATTTTTCGTTAATTAATTACGATCGAATCGACCTTGGACGAGTAATACCGATCCCAGTTTAATTACACCGAACAGGTGTATTTTAATTTAATTAGAACTTTGAGTAAAAATAGCGTTGCTGTCTTCCTTTTATTTAGCAATAATTATGAAAATTAAAAGGAATTAGTGTCTATTATTTTTGGCAGTTCTAAAAGCGAGATTCTATAAATTGGAAGCGATTTTTCTTGGAATTGTTCCTTATCGTATAATTCCGATTTAATTCCTAAACTTTGACCTTCGAGTCGCCAGATTTACTCTCGAATATGAATCATCGAGAAGGAATATTTGAACAAATAAGATACGGATAATGAATGGTATTACTCGGCCAGGCTCGACGATTATATGGCCGCAACAATCAGCGCCGAAAAATACTGATTCTCGCTCTCTAATGGCTATACTTTCGCGCATTCGTTCGCGTATCGCTGCGATTAAGATCCACGGTACTTACCGAGATCAAAGGAACGATATCGACCCAACAAACGATCGAGAATCACGACGAGGTGAGCAGCGATGATGCTCGCGATTAACTTCGTCATCGGACTGCTGCCATGGACGCGACTCCCAGGCCCGCGCGAATAGGTATGTATATTTATTATACATATCGTGCAGCAACGCGTGGCCGTTTAGGATACGAAAAAAATATACGCAGCCACGCTTGCATTATGACTAGACAGTTTGTAATCCTCGTTCCAACGCTCGAAGATCACCCTGCCGACGTTCTTTGATTCGCGTTACAGCTGTGCGGTCGATTCAAACGAACGATCGAACAATCATTCCGTCATGAAACGATTATAAATCTGATATAACGATGCTTTGAAATAGCTTCGAATCAACTTGAGCAGATGTGCCCACAGTAGAGACTCTTGCTATATTGCCATTTTCAAATTCGAGTCTCTAGGCTGAAACTCCTCCCTAATGTAATTTAATAATAAATTGGATTATTCACTGTTCAACCGCCATATCAGATTTTCTTTAATCCTTGAACAGCGAAACAGAGATCAATCGCGAGCCAAATATAATTACCCTAATTACCCAATGTATTAATCTAAAATTAAATGTATAATTGTTTAATGAAAGGGATTTATATACATTGGAAGAATAATTTTCAAGGGAACAGTGTAAAATTTAGAAAATGATAATAATAGAAAATAGAAAATCGAATTTAAATTGGGGATTTCTCCATGGTCCGCTGTTCGAGGGGTTAATTAATCACAATTCGGAATACCGTTCGATCGTCGAGTCCATAGACCAATTTTATATATAACGTTTTTCAATGATTGAGCATAGAACGCCGCCCCAGACTAATCCTAATTTGATCATAGTGTTTCTATACTCGAGTATCTCTTAATTACTTAACCATAGGGCTGCTGGTAGTCGATTAAAAGACGCACGAGGTGGAACGTCGACAGGTATCGATCCGCGCGCATCTCGATCGAAAGTTCTTCGAGCCGTGTCACGAGGAGAGCATCGTACGACGATGATATGGCACAAGATCTCCCTTCATCCTTTCCGCAAGGGCTCGGTCTTAGCTGTTCATCACGGTGGATCGCCTGGAGTAGCCTCGTCTCGTCACCGTTTCACCCTGAGCCTCGCACTCCCTCTTCACCCGATCGATAATGTCCGCCACCAGTTTCTCTTCTTTTTCCCTCTGCTGCTCCCAGTCTGGCCCTTTCCCGATCTGTCGGGGCACGTTTCACATATTTTCGCCCTTACTCTCTATCTCTCGATCGAGTGATCACGAATGATGCGCAAGGAAGCGGACGGAAGCTGGCGAGCAGCAAAAGCCCTTCCTTTTCTCCCTTTAAACCTTTCTCGAGCACAGGTGTGTAAAGCTCCACTTTTTTTTTTTTTTCAAATTTTATTTCGTTCGAAAGAAGGGCTTCCACCTGCTTATGGAAATGCCAGCAGAAGGGAAAGCGGGGTGATGCTGAAGCGGGGGTAATCGCGCGACTAGCGAGGGGATGTGTTCAATTCAACGCCTCGGATCTTAATGGAAAGTATTTTGAATGCCCGTCGCTGCACGCGACACAGGGTAAGACTTACGTCGGAGGTCTTGCGGACCTTCTTGTTCGCCGGCTCCTCTCTGTTCTCGTCGTTCTCGTTGTCGGAATGCCGCGAGCTGAGGTGACCGATGTAACCCTTGCGGGACTTGAAGTAAGCGTTACAGCTGTGGCACTTGAAGAGCGGCGCCGGCTGGCTGACCTGGGTAGGCACGTGCAGTTTGTACTTGTGCCTGTACCAACGGGTTCGAGACGGTAGCACCTCGCCGCACCACTTGCAGACTACGGAACCGTCGTTTTGAATCAGGTATTCCAGCAGCTTGTAAAACAACGTTTATTTGGTTTTTTCTCTACCTTTTCTCTCTCTCTATCTTTCTCTGTCTCCCTCGTTCGCGTTCATTTTAATCCCCCCCACCGGTCTAATCGGAGAAGGAACCCCTTGCTCGACGATTCGTACCCAAACGTGCCTATTCAGACTATTCAAATTCTTGCGCAATTTATTATATCCACGCTGTTGTTACGATTATAAGAAAACTATTGTAAAAATTATCATTATAAAAAAAAAAAAAAAAAAAAAAAAAAACGGGTACCCAGGATTTGAACCGAGGACCTTTAGATTACGAGTCATGTGTTTAACCACGGAGCAGATCCGTGACTTGCAAGTTGAAGGTCCTCGGTTCAAATCCTTGGTTCCCAAAAAAAATTTTTTTTCTTTTATGATAATTTTTATATAATAGTTATTCAAAAAGAGACAAATTATCATTAAAAAAAAAAAAAAATGTTGAAAATCAAGGATTTGAACCGTGGATCTCTAGATTGCGAGTTGTATGTGTGAGTCTGTCATACTTCTCAATGTAAGTAGTAACTAACTTTAATTATTAATATCTTTTAAACAATTAGTCGTCTATCCACAAAACGGGGTATAGGCGTGTTCAGCTCGACGAGCTCTACAAGCTGGCAAAGTTTCATTAATAAGTGAGTGTAACACTTGGGTAGTTCTCTTTGTCAGTGTACCTATGTAATCAGATGGCGATGAGTAGTTCGAAATAAGAGAGAAAAGACGAAATGAATTCGTGGAAAAATTGTAGTAACATTACATAGTATCGTGACACGTTCAATGGTCTTGAGGCGAGTGACTTGCAAATGTAAAGCTTTCTTGCATTGCCAGGTTGTCTCACGTCGTGTGTCGTGTTTGGCGCACACGTGACACCTTTTCGAAGGATTTTGTTTCTTACTAGTCGGCCGGTATACGTTCGGGGAAATGTCCCAAATTTTCGGCCTGTAATCGTAGGTGTGTATTATCCTCCAACTTCGATCAATTGAACGTAAATGAAAATTTCAGTTTCTTTTTTACAATCACGAAGAAATGAATTAGTCTAAATGGGCACGGTTAATTAAAAGAAATGAAATAAGAATTTCGTACAGCAAGGGGTTAAAATGGTTACAAGAATTTTTAAATGTTCGTAGGTACCCGTAAAACGAGATCAACGTTCTCTTTTCGTGGCGCAGATGAAGGATGCACCGACAGAAAAGGTGTCACCTAAGATAAACGACGTAAAAATAAGATCAACTTCCTCGCGCGCAATTATACACTGAGAAAGTACGGTTCAACGAACTACGCGCGTAAAGCTAGCGGCGCTCTAATGAAAGAGATACGAAGGGCAAACCAGATAAGAGTTGCGCACCGGCTGATAAAGGATTAATTTGCCAAATGAACGTTTCTTAGGGTGCTTTCCATTCGGTTGGCACGAAGTAAGAAACTTTTCATCGATCAAGGTGTCGGATCATCTCGATCAATTTATTTCTAAGCAACAAATACTTTGGTCAAAATATTTTTATCTTACAAATAAATGTTATCTTACAAAAATAATTCTGATCCGTTTCCAATTCATTTGAACGACCTAATTCCATAATACCTTTTATCCATCATCCATGGAGACTTACATAGGTAGAAGACAGATAAGATGATTACTCCTATTCACGAATTTTATTTGACTACTTATTGGCGCTAATTAAACAGGCGTTACAAACATATCATTTGTATCATACAACGCTCGACAGGTTTCTTTAAATAGTTACTCTTCAATAATGTACTTGGTAATTGCACTAAAAAGACACCGTTCAATTATTTTCGTCAACAACAATATTCACTATAATTTTTAACCGACACATATTTTTAACGTATACCTGTTAATAATAAATATTAGAAATAGAATTTTATGGAATAGGAAACGAGGAGCTGAAACGTAGCACAAATAAATGTTATCCCGGACAGCATCAGACAGCCGTGCCCCATTTACTGTCTCTATACAAGATAAAAAAAAAAGAAGAAACGATTAACTAATGCCCTGAATAATGGAAAGCACCCTATCAAATCCGCGGCGTGACGAGCTTTCGTAGCGGTCTCTTCGTGGTCAGTCCGTTTCTGTTGGTGCAGTATCCCCGGGGACGCGCGAAAGGCCGCCCCCTCTTCGTGTTCGTCGTGTGAACGAAGCCGGCCGCAGGTGGTGCACTGCCTGCCGAAGCAGCGGACGAACCAACCTGTTTCCTGACCTCCGGTTCAGCCTCCCCGGACTCGGACTTCGGCAGCAACAGTTCGGCCCGATCCTCCTCACGGTCCGTCAGAAAGTGCATCCCGCTGACCACCCTCTCGGACTTGATGAACTCGCCGGCCTCGTTGGTCTCGTTGAACGCGTCCTCGCCGCTTCTCGTCGTCGCCGTGATGGACGACGCCGGTGGCGGCGAGGACGACGACGACGAGGTGCAGATCTCGAAGGTGATGTCGCTCGGCAGACTGGGCATCTGGTCTGGTTAGACATGGAATGAAAATAGGTACAGGTGCGTTAGTTGCGTTCCGAACAGGAGGAGATATTAGTACTCTTGCTTGGACCTTGAAGAATATGGAGAATCTGTTGAATGGATGGGTTTATATCGAGGAATTATCTGTGATTTATTAAGCGGTTGAAGAAATAATAATCGCACGGACCTCAAAGAGCGAAGATCGGGATCCGCGTATTCCGATAAACCGTAAAGGGTTTGAAATAGAATCTCTTCGGATCGTTATGTTTCTCTGCTTTGCTTTAATGGAGGTTGCACTAATCGATACAAGAAATAAACGGTCGGATAGACTATTGCAATGTATATCACAAAGAGTTACAAAGAAACTACAATTAGATAAAAACAAATAAAAATAATAATAGTTATTTTAGATTGTTATCGTTCTTATCGCCACCAGGCACCATATAACTCTAGGTACATACGTTATGCGCGTACATTTCGAAACAAATGTACAAGCCGACGACAACGACGATAATCAGCGAACGTGCAACTTTTCCTTTCTTTATTGTGTTACTCTCTGATTTTATAATTGTATGTAACGTTCGTTATATATATATATATATATACTTTTTTTTTGTGCGTGTGTGGTTTCTTTTAAACGCGCTCCACCACCCTCTAAACAGGGCGAACGTGTACAATATAATATAATATAATATAACATAGTATTTCTATATAATATATAATAAATTTTTTTTTCCCTTCCGCAACGTTTTATATCTCCTAATAGTTCACGCAATTATCGTCCCTATTGCAAATACCTATTCAACATTGTATCCTGTTAACGTTCTTCAAGAATGTTGCCTTCGTGTACCGCTTCTTTCTTCTATCGAAACAAATAGTGTGCTGTGCGATGCTTCCATGATGTTTCAGTGCAAATAAAAGTGCCAGTACTCGTATCCTATATATTATATGTAATATATTATATGTATGTATATGCGGTGTATATTGCTAATTAATAAACATATATAACCGTAAAAATTGGCTAAAACACGCTTGCATCATCATCGCTGGATCACAGCGTTATTTCTTTTCCTTTAAATTAGTGTAAGTAAGAATAATACAGAGGTGGACACGATCACTAACGTAGAACATCTTTTAATTCATATCAGAAGTCTACTGTGCGAACGAGTACATTTCCAAGCGATTAATCTTCTTATACCGTTCTTTTTCTCGATCACAAAGGAACAGCAATTCATGTTTTAGTTTGAAAAAAGAAACAGCTAAATTGAACAATTATGGATACACATTTGTTATAAATATTTTATCGAATCCTTGGCAATGTACTCGCGGGTTTAAACGTGTGTAACGCCGCGAATTTCATTCGCAGAGAAATCTTATGGTCTCTATGGATATTCTGGCGATAGATAGCATTTCATTGTTTCTCAATTCTTTTTACGGATTGTTGAGAATATCTACTTATGTACATACATTTATAGCGTTAATGCTGCATCTACACTATACAAATTTTATTGCTATCTTTAGTTTATTTTAATTTTTTTAATTTGCAATTTTGCGAACGTACTCGTAGCACTTATTACTAATTTCCAAGTTAATTTTGAATAATTTTTCTTCCTGTTTATTGGATGCTTGATGTCACGAGAGTCCATAACTAAGCGCGCAGGTTGGAAGATGGTAGGGGAACGCAGCGATGGTGGGGGAAAGCGATCCGCCAATCGCTTTCCACTTCCGCTGGAAGTATCGCCAATCAGAGCGACAATGCGGAGAAAGGAACGAAAATGGACTCTCGTGACATCAAGTATAAATATTCCGCGTGAGAGAATTATTTGAGTGTGTAGCATAGTCGCAGCTTAACTCGAATAAAATCTGCAATTTCAACCATCAATATTTATAAATTATAAATCTGTTCGCCAGAAAAACCTAGTGATACACATACATACATATATATCTTGCGTTCTACCAACGAATAAAAGTGGGGAAACATATAAAGTGAAGGCAGCGCATTATGTCGCAAGCTGTATAGCATTTAACGCTCAAATAAAATATAATCTGTATTATGAATACAATAACCGTGTTATCATTTTTTTCATCTCTACGGGGTTTTTTCACTTTTGCATCACCCCGTCCCTCTTCTAACGTGTTACCGTGGTTTCCTTTTATCATTTTTTTTTTTTTGTTTCATTAAAGCCTAACGCATCTTACCGCGCTAACTAAGTTATACCCGACGTGTTACATTAAAAATTAAGAAATAAAATAATAAACGCTACTCGACGATTGACAATTAGCAATAGTAGTAATATAATATTAATATAGAATATCTAGAACTATTAGAATAGCAGTATAAAACTAAAACGTAAGAAGTAAGGTAATGTTGTCGCAATGCATGGAAAGTGAAGAAAAGAAGAGTGTAACACGATCGTGTTTCTTTTTTTAATTGCTTTTTTTTTGCACACGTCATTAAAATTAGGAATTTGTATTTTTTTTATTTTTTTTTTTTCATTTTTTTTAGAGATTTTTTGAAGATTCGTCAGTGTGTCGTGCCATTCGAACGATGCAACTCTATCTTTTCTAAAATGTATATATAAATTTTCTCTCTGTTGTAACGAATCGCATACACGCGTTATCGATCACATATTTATCGATCACCAATCACGAATCTAGAGATCTATGGCTGCGATCAAGCAGAACTTAAAGCAAGATTTTTTTTTTCCTACGAAGGATCCTTCAAATTTTGCCAGAAATATCTTGCACAATTTAATAGCGATCGTACAATTCCAACGGATATGCGTGTTTGTGTGCGTGTGTTCGTATTAATATTAATATCAAAGTAAAAGTTACGCTCTCTACGACAATAACAATGATTAGTTGGACGCAAGAGAAAGGATTGTGCGAGAATAGTCTGAGGTTCAGCTAACATTTTCTACCTTTTTCGGTCATCATGCGATTTGCTTTTATCGAACACATTGCCAACACGAATTTTCTGTATTGAAATAGCGATGATTTAAATTTAATTTTCTAAATTCCAAATTAGAAAATTACAAACTAGTAATTATAGAAATGGGATAAATAACAATAAAATAAAAATTCCCTTTTTAAAAAATATCTCTACTAAATGAAGATGTGTTAATTACCAATTATAAATGAATTTCTACTAATTAGCAATGTGTTGAATATTAACTGGCTCAAATCACACGCAGATGCACATTCCCTCTCGCGTAATAGACCTCTCTTCACATATACATGTATATATAATATATTCTTCTTTTTTAAATAGCTCTTTGACAACCATCATCATTCTGACATACACGCAATCCATCCACGCTCATTTTCACACGACCCTCTCACGCGTACAACACCGATTCGGAAGACCAAAATACTGTTTTCCGTTCGGTATTCGTTCGAATGTTCTCGTCAAAACTAATATTTAACACGTTTTATACCAACACAGTAAATATATTGATTCCCATAGAATTGACTAAATTATTAACCCAATATTAATAACTATTAAATAATTACTTACTTCCCCCTTTAATTATCCAATTGTATCCATGTCAATTTGATATTTCTTTTCTTTTTAATACTCTTCAAAGAATTTTTACCAATATAAACATTTTTAAGGAAAACGATGCTAATGAAAATTTTATAAAATTTCTGAATATCGGCAAACGTGTTAAACAAAAGGAGAAACGAGAATTGGAACAGAGTTCGTTGCTTCGGAGACTCGACGTGGAAGTATTAAACGTTATTCCTAGTAAATTCGTAGAACAAGACGGGCTTTTTAAACCAGGGAATATGCAGTTAGTCCGTGTAATATCAAAACTCGACGTTTACCAATAATTGCTCGCGAACCGCTTAATCTTTTATTGCTAAATTACGACTTCGTCGAGAATTATATGAAAAATAAGAAATGCTGTCGAAAGATTCATGACCGAACGAGATGTACCTGTTTATCGTTGCCTTATGTAAAAACGATTCAACGTAACTGCGCCATTGTTTCCCATTGTATCGCGAAACAACGTCGCAGACACGTGAAAACACGTATTTTTCCCACGAACGAATCGGAAAACTTGCATTACAAACAACCGTGCGAACGGTGTGAGAATTATGTGTGATTTCGGTGTAAATTCGACTTGAAAAAAAAAGAAAAACTATGTCTACATCGCGGTGTCCCAACACCGAAAAAAGAAAAAAAAAATAGAAGAAACTTGTTAACAATAAATGTTATCAAATAATTGATTTCTTTGCAGGTTTTTAAACGAACGAATGAACGAAAAATAGTATAATATACATAATAATATAATATAATAATAATAATAAATCAAAGAGAAAAACAAACGGTCCAGACCCGAACTAACTGAAGGGCCATTCTTTTTTTTTTTTATAATAATATATACTATGTCTGTATACATATATAAACTTTCTCTATAACTTGTCTGCGTTTGCCTGTGCATTATTAACTTATATACCTAGCAATAATAACCAATTTTATCGGTGCTTGTCCATTATCTAAAAGTTAATAAATTCTTATCAAACAATATATATATATATATATCTATATATAATAATATTAATAGCAATAAACTGTAACGGTGATAATAAAAATAATATTGTTTGCCGCATTAATAGTAGTGCGAGTAATGGTAAATCAATAATGATAATAGTAATAATAATTAATAATTGGTAATAACTATAATACACTTTCCCAGAAAACCTGTACATATACCGAGGCTGCTATGCAGTTTAATTCGTTTCTTTTCTCTCTCTCTCTCTCTTTCTTTCTCTTTGTCTCTCTAGTTAGGGACTATCTAACAAAACTCTACGAGTCTTTTGTGCTCGCAGCGAATCTATAAACTCTGTGATAAATATACATTTCCGTCTTCTTTCCTCCATTTTTTTGTTTTTTACACTTTTTACTAATACGCACTTCGCTACGCACCATTGGAATCGAATCTGTGTTGGAAGGCTTAGGAAAAAATGAAAAAATAGAGAACAATCTTGACTAAGAAACTCTGCATGCAACTTTTAAGAAATCCGAACGAACGTCCCCCTTTTATATATCATGCCGTTGGTAAAAATAAAGAAAATGTGTGTACAAATGAACGTGTACGTTCAGTTAAAAAAAATATCTTCTTACAAAGGTAAATTAAAAAAGAAAAATAAGAGCTGGTTTGTCTGAGAATATGCAGAGTTTCATGCAGTTGTAGAAGGGACTGTAAAAAGAAGAGAGAACGTAACATTCGTAACCAACGTTTCACATATAAATTGCTGAAATCGAAAATTTGTAAAACAGAAAAAAAGAAACAAAAAGAAAATAGAATCATTCGCGTTAAAGCATCGAAGACGTATATTTTTGTTAAAGCTATCACGGTATGATCTAGAGAAACGGAAGTATACTGTCAGTCCCATTAATCGTATTGCTTACGTTACACTGTATTTGCATTAAAAAAAAATATATATATCAATTTCATACGCAAGCCTCGACGAGAATTATTCTTAAAGAAGAAAAACGAAGAAAAGGCACGAAGTAAGCTCGTCGGTTTCGCAAGGTAATATATCAATCCCTTTAAATATTTGTTCGCCGATATCATTAAATTTGGACTCTTAAAACATAACGAGAGAATTGGAATTAATGCAGACTACGCCCGCGTAAAATACTGCCATGATTTATTCTTCATTTAAAAAAAAGCTTTGTTTCCGGTTACGCGGGCCCGATACGTTACGAATATTCAGCATTGTGAAACAATGGTTTACGTACATCACACGGTACGGTCACGTGCAACTTAGGCTTCCTTTGATCAAGGGAAAATGTAGGGGATCTATATTCATCTACAAGAACAAGGGGTTTCATATTGGTTTCTAGAATATTTCAATAAGGCAAGTAGTGGAAGATTTTCTTATATTTATCTTAACTAAGAGAAGTCTAAATTGCAGCCAAACGTACAATCAGGTGAAACTCAGGTTTCCGTTAGTTAAGAATATAGAAATATTACCTTGTGTCCATATTTTTTAATAACAATAACAAGAGGTTCTATGATTGGCTGTTCTCAGTCTCTTTTAAATCAAAAGGCAATAGAGACTTGTACCCCTACACCTACCCTTAAACAAAAGAAGCCTAAATCACAAGAAAGTGTACATACGCAAACGTAGCCGTCGAGTGTGTCCCTCTTTTAAAAATGTCCAAAAAGGCTTCGGCATCGCTGGCATTCGTATGCAACGCACCGTACACGCCGAGAAGGGACTCGCACGAACAAGGACCGGGGGCGCTAGTGAAGGAGAGACAACAGGCGTAGACGCATCGATCGACTACAAGCATCAGCGCGCTATTGCACAGTTCAAGGATCATAACATAATACTAAATGTACACAGATCACTAGTCGAGTCGTCACGAATAGATACATATATAATTTTTCATTTCTCCCCTATGTTCGTGTCTTCTCCGCGCGATCACTCGATGTCGTCCCGCTGCAACAAGTGTTTTTGCATCCGATCCGGGTCGCGTGGTGTCCTCCTCCAATCGTCCTCCTCCTCCTCCCGACATATCCGCTCGGTAAAACGACTAAATCCGATCGTTATCGCGCCATTTAATAATACCAGATTTATCATAGTCGAACTTACGCGGGGGTGAGATGGGGTTAGGCGATTGGTCCGGCATACACAGAGGGAGTAGAATACGAGCACGCCGCCGCTGCGGGGTGACTAGACTAGGCCGACGCTGAAGAAGACGACGGGTGATACGACGGGTAAATGTGTGCTTTTTTTTTTTTTATAATCAAACGCGGCCCCGCCTGAACACGGACAACATCCTCGGTTGGAGCCTCGAGGAGATCGAACCTCGAACGTTTCTTTGGACACCGCTGCCAGCGGCTGTTTCCGGTGCCCTTTGCCCGGCATTCTCGTCATCCGTCCTAGCCGTGATGATGGTTCTTCGTGCCGGACCGATCACCATCCCACCACGCCCTCGCGACGCCCGCTAAGGCGAGAGAAAAAAGCCGAAAGGCATCACGCAGTCCTTCGGCATGAAGCAATCGTGGACCGTTTTCATGTGATTCTTCATCTTGTCCGGCCTTGAGAACTCTTTGCCGCAGACCGGGCACGGGAACACCTTCCTCTGGTGGCCCTCGTGGTATAGGAAAGCGTGTCGTTGGAAGCTGTACTTGTTCTTGAACGTCTTCTGGATGTCGAGCTTCGCGCACTCGGTACACTGATAAACACCCTCGGATATCGAGGCGTAACGAAAGAGATTCAAACCCCGGACAGACATTTCGGTAAGCTGTTCCGCGGGATCTTGCGAGTGCGAGGTGGCGCGACGTCTCATCCGTCTTTTCGGTACTTGACGACCCGGTGGCGCGGACATTGTCCCGACCTGACCGCTCGTCGACGAGTTCAGCGTCGGTGCAGGGCTGCTGCTGCTGCTGCTACCCCCACTACCGGCGTTGTTCTGCGCGTTGTTCCTGCCGGTCGCAGGCGATGCCGAGGAACTTCTCGTTGATGTGGTGGTGGTGGTTGTACCGGAACTGGACGCGGTCGTCGACGAGCTCGTTGTGGTCGTCGACGAATTGGTACTAGTCGATTTCGAGCCGGACGTTTCTGTACTAGTTTGATTCCCTGAACCGACGTTTCTTGTCTTCTCTTTCCACGTCTCGCCTTCCGACTTCGTGCAGCCCGAGAACTCTGCGAAAAGATTCGAGTCAGTAAAGAGTTTGCTCCCGTGTTCGAAGAACGCGTGCGCTTTGCTACAACATAAATGAAACATTTCTCGACGTTTCGTGTCGATCTACAGGGAAGGCTGTGAATATCGCATGCACGCATCAAGCTAATGTCAAGATGAAAAAATTATGAATACGACGTCGATGTTACAACGGGTCTACTCGGATAAAATAATTACGTGCAAACAGAAAAAATGTCGATTTGTATAACATAAATAAAGTTTGAATGATAAACACCTGTAAATAAAAAATTCAATCGTGAAGAAACATAAATAACGGCTACGCTTATTTTAATAAAGTAAGAACGTGAATGGACGGAGGATCGGGGGATCGGTTTCTGTCGTACGAAAATAAAAATCTCCGCGTTGACGAAAGTAAAATAAAACAAAGTATAATCGTACAATTTCATTTCTTATTCTTTGTTTAAATAAAATTGTGCGACAAAATCTGCCTCTCTTACGTTTCGCGTACTTGGTTTCTATGGATGTGGTACCACGGATGCGGTATATGGACCACGTGTAACGCACGTGACATCGTTAAATCGATGCCAAGGACTCCATCGATTCCACGCTGAAAAATTCATTGCGAATCGTCCTGTGTGCCAACATGAAAAGTAAAACAGGTGACCGAGGACGATCTACGTTCCGTGTCATCGAGCCACTTTTCTTACACGATTTTTCATCAACTTAAAACATTTGAACAACTTTTTAAAATAAAAATTATCAATATCGTGTATTACTCGATCCACAGAACCTGATCGACGAGAGAAAGAATTTTTAATTAATCGATTCTCTCGACGATAAAGAAAAAGACAATAAGAAATAACGAAAATCAAAGTTAAATGCAACGAACAAACCATGTACATATATATATATATATATTTATCTTTTTTGTTCTTCTCCAAATGTTTTCACTTTTCTTCGTCGCCCGGACAGTAAAAATAATAAATCAACAATACGCGTACGCAACATGCAAAACAAAAGTCCATAAAAAATAATGATAATCGCCGATATCCAGTCGCGATCGCTTTCTCGTGCAAACGATTAATCCGTTCCCCGTTTCATTTTTCTTCCCTTCACGAAAATCGTTACGATCGACAAAGAGGCGTTGATGTTTGCTCGAGGAAGCCATAGCGAAGGAATCTTAATATCTAGATGATCGTCTCGTTGTCATCGGCAATCGTTCGCCGGGTTAGTTCAACGAATGCCGGTGGCCAAGAAGACGAATCCACGATCGCTAAAACGAAACTAAATAAAAGTAATTTTTGGCTAAGAGTAACGGTGCTTCGTGGTGAGTGCGGGAATTCTCGAATTTGGTGTGCGGGATGGATGTATTCGGATGTTCACTAACGAGAAATGTCTACGTTTTAAACACGAGTGTGGAACGTAACGTGAGATTGAAATAAAAAAAGAAGATGAAAAGATTCCCTTTCGGTTCTCCAAGAAACTTATGGCACTTTTATGACGAAATTAATCACCGACGGTCGCTGCACTGATTCACGTTCCACATACGTGCGAACAATAATTAACGCATAATAAACGGAAACGACGAATAACGCAACCAAACAACAACTTCTCTACTAATGCGCTGTTAGTCGTTTGTTGTAATTACCTTTATGTTTCACTTTTCAATGCGATTCGTCTGCTACGTTCTTCGACGGGTTTGTACAATTTGGTGCAACTTAGGCTTCCTTTGATTAAACAGAAACGTAGGGGAAGCGATGGGGTGGATCTACCCCTACCGGGTAGTAATTCGATTGTTAAAACAGTATCGAGATTAATTGATATCAGGACATTGAGGAATAACATGCATTTCTTAGTGTCGCGATATCAATGATGCCACTAACGATGGTCGATCCTTCTCTTTGAACGCTTATCCTTATTCAAAGAAAGCCTAATCACCGCGGTGTACGTACATCGTACATTTAGTAGACGATCCAGCTCACTAATTTCTAAAATCGTTACAACGAACAATCTTGTATGTTTCACGAATTCTTTCGTTCACTATTTTCGAAATCCACCTTTTCCTTCGCAAATGCGAGAAAACGATTGTTGTCGATTGAAAATGAAAATCAAAGGGGAACGACAATTTGTGTCGTAAACGAGAAACAGAAACTGGTGTTGTACGTATTAAATTAAAAAATTAACAGACGATGAAATTTACTAGATTGTTATTGCCAACTAGATGGTTAATGGGTGAGAAAAGCTTGGTACAAGAGATTTGGTCGGCTTTCGTACTAGTTTAAAAAGGTAAATGTCGGATATTCCACGCAATCGTTATCACAAGGAGAAACAATCTGACAATTCGGTTCTCAAACAATAAATTGTGAATCACGCTTTAAACGGATGAACATGAAAATTTTCATTTCCTCTCGCTAGTTTCCACGATACTTCGATGCGCTTCATTTGTACGTTTGGATAATTAACATATTGCCTGCCATTATTTAATACACGTTCCAATAACAATTTTATAAAATTCTGTCAAGTCTTTTCATTTCTTCGTTAATCGATTACATTGAACTTATCTGGTATCATTGGTGATTTCTCATGGCAGTCAACGTGTTAATGGACGACTTTTCGAGATGCGCTTTGAACGTCCTCTTCAACCCTTTGGAATGAAGAATTTTTCGAAGATAGAGAAAACAATGGAAACCGGAAGAAATTTTTCAGAATTTTCAAAATTTTTCATAAATTGAAAATATGACATTACCGATCGTTTCCATTAATTTATTCGATCTCCTAATTAATTAACACCATTTAAATCATTTCGTAACCAAAGGGTTGAAAGCATCGCATAACATCATTTTCTACCATTTCATTTTTTCTTATCGATTAATCGTAAATTAACGAAACATTCTAGTTCAGACAGTTGTCAACGGATCTCGTAAAATCGAGCGGAAACGCGACACATTCTCGTCTCCTAAATCGCGAGCCTGCGTCCGCGTGACACAAAGAAAAAAAAAAGAAAACGGACACGCGAATGTATAATTATGAGACAAAAATATTCGGTAGATTACAGCGACACTTAAAAATCCTTCAAATTACAATCTATTGAACACCGTTCATGTTTTTTTTTTTTGTTTTTTTTTTTCGTTTTATTATCGATAGTCATAATCAAACAATCAGTGCATATAAAATATACTAAGTCTACCCAGCGTCAGAAAAGACTCGTCTTCTCTAAAAAGTTGCCTATAAAATTTCTTTCTTGCATATTTTTTTTTATTTTTGTTTGTTTCATTTTTATTTACTTATTTATTTATTTCACTCCCTTTTAACGCTCGTTTCACGACAAGGTCTCGCTTTTTATTTGGCACTAGATCCGCGCGCGATCACCGAGGCGCGCCCTTTTTTTTTCCATTTCTTCTTTCTCTTTTTCTTTTTCAAAAAAAAGGGGGGGGATATACACACGCGCTTTTCAGCGCGCCTACGATCGCTGCTTCTTCGATAACAATTTAATTATTTCTTTTTTTCTCTCTCTCTCTCTCTCTCGCTCTCTCCCTCTCTCTTCTTCATCGTCGTTATTTTATGTTCGCTTAAAAAGGCACCAAATCGGGGATTACACCGCTACAATATTATTGGATCCCACTGAAGTACGTTAATTCAACGTGTATATATAAAGTTAAAAGTCAACCACATATCTCGTATGCATTTCTTTCATTTCATTTCATTTCATTTTTTTTTTTTCGTTTTCTTTTGTTTTCTTCATTTACTCTCGTTTTCTGACGCATCATCTCAAAAACTGCAACGACGTTAATAGGTATTATCAACTAGCGCTAAAATATATTCGATATAACTTTTGTTTATATATATATATATAATATATATAATAATAATGATAATAATAATCGTAATAATAATATTAATAATAATAAATCGCAATAATAATATTAATAATAATCATCGCAATAATAATATATATGTACCATCTTTACGCTAAATCGCGTATCTTTTGTATATGTGTTTCTCTCTCTCTGTATACGTGTGTTTGTTGTGTGTACATAATGCGTGTGTAATTTATTTTTGCGATAATAAACTATGATTCTTCTTTCTTTAATATATATATATATGTTTATGTATACATATATATATTTTATATTCAATATATATATATTAAAATCTATCCGATAGTACAGTCTGCTTTTTAAGCCTCGTAATTTACCTCTTTTACTCTCTCTCGCTCTCTCTCTCTCTCTATTCATCTTCCACAGTGATCTCTTGCAAGAGCGATTAATGTCGATAAACACTTGAAAAAGAACTTAGTATAATCGGTATTGACTGGTTGACCCCTTTTCAAATAAAGAGGACGAATAAAAAAAGAAATAAAAAAAGAAAGAAGAAGACAACGAGAACGGTTCGCCATTGCAAGAGCCACGTATAAATATAATATAATCTATGTAAAATTTGCTTATCATTTTTCTTTTCTCTTCTCGTACACTTCCCCCCTGGTACCCACCCGCAATGTCCGTAGACTTATAAATTAATTAAAATATATTCAACACGAAACTCATCAACGAGACCTCTGCGATCCTAACCGCGATTAACGTGAGAAATTCGTCTCTACTTGTGTAATTATAATTAAAAAAAAAAGAAGATCGGGAGGGAAGAGACAGCTGCAGATTCGTAAGAAACGATTCCTTTTTTTTTTTTTTTTTTTTCTTAATATTTCTCCGTTTAAAATCGATCCCTTAATTCGAAAGAACACAAGATACTCTTCGTTACAAGAAATTTCCTTTATAACGCTTCAACATTGTTTCTTCATCACTATGAACACTTTTTACAATTTGAACACTAAATTTTGTACGAATACAAGGATCTCAATATCATTTAGATTCTTAATCCTTAAAGAACACTCTCCCCCCTTCGTCGAACACCTCTACCTACGCACGTTTCACTGATTGGCAACATGAATTTCCGTTACATCTTCTTCTTGTCTTCCTTTTTTTTTTTTCTCTTTTATTATTATTTT